ATATATATATAGAGAGAGAGAGAGAGAGAGAGAGAGAGAGTTAATACGTACGTATCATAATGAAGTAACTGACCATAGGCTGTTTAAAGAATATGATACTTTAGTTTGAAATTAAAAAAATAATAATAAATAAAAAATTTTGAGACAAACTATTCTATTATGATTGCAGATTGTGAAAACTATGGAATATTATTGCAACACATTTCTTCACACCAAAAATATGAATGGAATACATTCTAATTCTTTATTATTAGGTAACACATTTGAATATGGTTTTGGTATGAATATTGTTGCTGTTTATTTTTAAAACCTGCAAGACCGCTAGCAGAATTTACAGACTGAATCTGCAGCACTATTTTCATAAATCCAAGTTTGCGATTTGTACGCAGTCAGGTAGTGAATATTATTATAAAAATTAAGCTTTATTTAGCAAGATTTGCATGAAAAGGTTAAAATTACGCATAAAAACTTTACGTTGATGGAATTTAAGTTGAATTTTATACTATGGTACTAAAAAAGAATTAGATCTTTCTACAGTTAAGTCTCTAAACAATTAACATTAAAAAATTATTTTTCTCCTTGTTCTTTGCAGTGTTCTCTCGATTTTCAGCTTTTTCATTTTTATTCGATAAAAGTTAAGAGATTTTTTAAAAAGGGAGTCTTTGCTATTTTACTTGAGTTTGGCGCAGCATATTCCCATCCTATTCAAGTCAGGTTAACGCGGTTGATTGTACCTTTGAATACTGAAATCTTGCATTATATGTATCAAAATCCTTTCGAAAAATGCATTTAGATAGTTACAACCGAATTTAGAGCGATTTTAAAATGATTTACTATTCATTATTTATGGTTATTAACTCTATGAGTTAACATAGGTTATGGATAAAACTCGAAATGTTTATTTTATGCATTCTAAAACAGCAGCAGATAGTTTATAGTAATATTAAAAGATCGGGAAGTGCAAGCGGGTTAATAAAAATATCAAAATTTTGTTTAGCCTTTATCTATGGCTATAGACATAAAAGCTTTTAATATTTTTTTATGAGATATTTTATATCTTCGGCTACAACTACATTACTTCAATTTTTTTAAAACTTCCCGTTTTATCAAATAACTATCTATTCGTCGGGCGTTCCCCTCAACTGTTAACTTTTTTTTTACTGTTATTAAATCGGTTTTCGCCTTTGTTCCACCCTTGACCCAGTCTTTAGGCGGGCGGGTTTTTTTCTTTTCCTAATAGGTCAATCTTTGTATACAGCCTGTACACCCAAACCATCCACTTTACTACGGATTTTTTTTTACTCCAGCAGATGTTGCCTTAGATGAATGGAATTTTTTTTTTCTTCTTCTGCTTCTTATAATTTTCTCCGCTTTTTATTTGATTGGAAAGTGGAAAAGAGGGTTTTTTATCGTCTGCCTTCGATTGTACTTTCTCACGCGACTTATTTTATAGCGGGAATGATGGCTATTGTGTTGCGGCGTTGCAAATCGTGAAGTTGCAATTCGCCTCGGAGGTGAAAGTGTATATTAGATTTTGGTTCCCTCTCCCCTCCTTTCCAGGAAAAGTTTTCATTTCAATAAAGGTTAACATTCATTAGTTATGGGTATGTTTGCTTGTTAGCTTAGTGGCTATCATCGTCTGCGCCTGGTAGAAATAAGGAAGTGTGTCCCACATTTTCGTAAGCATTGTTCGTTAAGAGGGTGTTAACATATGGAATTTTAAGTGATGTTAATTTCCCCTCGTTTTTCCGTGTATAACGTATGATATAAAAAACTTGGTGGTAAGGTATTATGAAGGGAAAGAGAGTTGAAGTTGAAACTTTAATTTCTATAAGACTGTGTATTATAAATTTCCACGAAGAAGATATTCTTTTGGAATATTTTGTATTTTCCTTCTTTACACAGAACCTCTGAAACTCTTCAAGGACATTTTTTCCTACTATTTTCTTCCCTGAATTTCATTTCATTTCTTTTTCTTGTATTTAAAAAAAAAAATTTAAAAAAAAAAAAAGAAGAAGATTTAAATGTGTTGTGTAAGCATCGCTCTCATTATATACTCTTACCTATCTTTTACTTTTCTAAGTAAGCTGCTATTGGCGATATCATAGAACAAAATTTTGTTCCATGATATCGCCATAGCAACCGATGATACAAATTCTAACTTACAACTTACATATTCTCAAACAAATAAAAAAATAGTAATTTTAACATCGTTATTTTAATGTCGTCTGGCGATTTACTCGTATTCATTTGCTGATTTTTATCAACAATTGAACAGGTTGAAGAGAACATGGACCTCCATTGCCGTGAATGGAGCCACAATAGCCAGTGTATATCTCAAAGGGACATACAATTGTCTATTGAGTACACTAAAACCTTAAATGTACAGAGGTGCCAACTTGCTCCGGACAGCAAATATATATTTTAAAGTGGTAGTTTATCAATTGTGATTCTTGGTTTAATAAATTCAATTTAGTAGATTTTTATCCATAACTATTTCTAAGTAATTCGTAGGCTTATATAATTCATCACTTTATAGTAGTTATGTCATGCTACCATATACCTTTCAAAAAGCAAGCAAAATTAGTCAAATATTTGCAAAATTTAATTTGTAGTTATTTACCGCTTTTTGAATCATTTTGGCGTGTCCGGAGCAGTTGGCAACACTGAATGTATTACTATAATTTTAAATAACAAATGCTAATTAAACAAATGCCACGCTTCAACAAGCAATCAGGATTGAGATATCCACACTATGTCACTTGCAGGTATCCCAATCCCAAATTTGATTTTTGAAAACCTTCTGGAATGTATGTCACTTAGCACTATTAATTAAGGTCTTAGATGTTAGAAATCTAACTGCTGAAGACGAGAAAAAGTTCGTGGTGCATAATTTTACACTGTTTTATTCAGATTTAACAGACGTGTAACTAGAAACGCCATATTAATCATTTTTAATTTTGATAAGCTGTTTTATTAAAGAATTATTAAGCACATTCTGTAAGTCAGCCCCAACGAAAAACTAAGAGATTTGCTACTGTGTTGTTTCTTACCTTTCTCTCTTGTTATTTTCATAAAACATTTTCTAAGAATTAAGAATTTTGTGGCAAGTGTAATTAATTTTCAATCTTTTCCTTTTCAGATATTTTGTTGTTAGCATAATGGGTGAGAAACGTGGTATGAGAGCATTGGAGTTGTGGTGCCGACGAGTAACGGATGGTTACAGAAATGTCAGAGTCAATGATATGTCCACCTCATGGAAAGATGGCCTTGCTTTCTGCGCTTTGATACACCATTTTAGACCCGATCTTATGTGAGTTTTTTTTTAATTAAGTTGTGAGTTCGTAATAGTTATTCAAGCATGTTAGGCTAAGTTTTGCCTATCTTTAAAACCTAGGCATGCTAATCGTGAAATTGGCGCAAAATGACAATATGAAAAGAAAAAAAAACACAGTTTATATTTTTGAATTTTTTTTTGAGGTGGGGGGGGGAAATTTTTGATACCCTGCCGTAAAGAATTTAGACTTTAGAACAGACAAATAGAATAAATATTTGAAAAGTTACTAAAAATTTTTTTTTCCTTTTTAAATTGTCAATTTAACGAGATTTTTCCACCTGGATGGAAGTTATTAATATAAATCAATAATTCTCATTAACATTAAATTATTATCTTTTTATAGCTTTGTCTCAAAAATAAGGCTCTTAAATTATGGCCTTCCTTTTCTTTTTGTTTATTTATTTTTATTCATTTTGGCAAATCAGCTTTGGAAGGAAGGAAAAAAAAACTCTTTTAGTGATATATATGATGATAAAATAACAAATTCGCAGAGCGCAACTACACAGAAATAACGAGAAACGAATTTGCTTCCGGCATTTCGTCTATGGAACCCTATCATTGTCTTCATTATTCAAATAAAATACATTAATAATTATTTAATTGTTTCAGTACAATTTTCTTCTAATGTGAAGAACTAGACCTATAGAACGGCTAACATAGATTTTTAAACTATATTAGCGGTACTTCGCTGGCTAAGATAAATATAGTTGCTTCTAAGCCGCATGGTTGAGTAAATTTTTTGTATCATTCAATAATTGATTTTTTAGTTTATGTGGTTTATGTTTGATTTTTTAGTGCAGTTATGTAAATTTAATTCTTGACTATTGGAAATTTTTTTGTTTGTATGCACGTACAACGAAGTAGGCCTAAACTCTAAATGTTTCGTAACATTCTTGTAGCTAAAAACGATGCTTACAAACAATTAATATTACTGCTAATAAAAATTATGTTTGTATTATATTTTACTCTATGCTAAGATAAAATATTTTACATTTAGTTGGGAAAATCTTGTAGCTACAAAATCTTCCCAACGGTTTGTACCATTATATTGTAGTTGCATAAATTCTTTTTTAATATTAGAATTTTAGCTTTTGAAAACCTTAATAAAATTTAAATTAAACATTTTTAGTCTGAGAAACTTTGTTTGAATTATTATTACTTTTACAAACTGTAGTTATTTTTATAATTATCAAAATTGTTTCTTAAAATAATTACTATTTTGTTGTACGAGTACGTTTGCCGCTAATAGGCATGAGTCATTTTATTTATAACTATAATTGCTAGAATAAAATTCCTCAATTTAGATCTTGCATGATTATTAATCGCACTATAAACTATGTTTATGAATTGAAAGAATTAACAAATAATAATAACAACTTTAAAAGTTTTTTTTTCTTCGGTATAATTATGACACACTTCTCTTCTTTTTTTCAGTGATTTTGAATCATTGTCCAAAGAAAACATGCTGTATAATAATGCACTGGTAAGTTAAGTATTTTGTAAGCTGTTTAATTCCTTCTGTACCACTCTGTTTACTATATTTTCCTTGAAATGTCACATACCGTTAATCCCCCTCAATCTCATTCATACCAATTATGGAAATGTTTGAGATAATTTTAACAATACTATTATATGATTACACTAATGAACAAAAATAAACATTTGTTATAGTTTTTTTTCTTCTTCCAACTAACTTACTCCATTGTTATTCTTCATTAATTTTTTATCTTTACACACATTTAATATCGCTTACACCTTAATCTTTCTTCGATATCGGAGATTTTGTTCTCAAAAATGATCAAAGCATTTGTTAAAAATCACTTAGATAATTGTGTTTTGAGGAAAGTTATACGAAAAATAAAAATCATAGTTTGTTAAATTTTGTGTGTCAAATGTTTTATTCTCCATTTACTAAAATTTAAGAAAAGCAATAAGTCTGTATAATTGCGTTCCCTTAGCAAGTTTTTTTTTTCAACTTTTGTTTAACTTTATTTATTAACGTGTCATTTGAAATTAGTTGCCATTCTTTTATTCTTTAAGTTTTATGTTTTTTTCTTTCTTCTTTTAATTTATTTTTAGCTACTATAATAATTTCTGTAAGGTTTGCTAAAGTTCAAAAAATATTTAAATCCTGAAAAATTTAAATTTTTTATAACTGTGCATCTTAAATAAAAGGATTTCCCAAATTTCGTTTTTAAACTTTTAAATATTTTGTTGAAACTTATTCAAAGCTGCTTTTGTAGCTTTGAAAAAAAAGTTTTGCCAAGTTTAAAATATATTCAAAATTATAAAAATTAACATTTGTTAACCACACCACAGAAGACGTTTTAACGAATAAAATGGAAAGAAAAGCTAGTTAAAAGTAATATTTAGTGACTTAGGGAAATGATAACTATATAGTTCTCTAATCGTTAACATGGGAAACTGGTGAAATAAAATTTGACTCCTGAATACCCTAAATCTACGGTTCTAAGAAGGTATTTCTCTGAACCGAGAGGTTCCGCGGAAGTATTACACGGATTCCTTAAGTTAGGATTTTTTTCAACCATTAATAATTATATTTAGATCCAATCAATTTTCCACTAATTCATTTAATATTTCGTTTGTTTATATGTATTCACTTATATAAAATGCTAATAACAAAATTTTAAAAATATTATTAATGAATTATGAAAAGAATATGCATTTATAAGAATTTCCATGAGTTAATTCTCCTTGAGATTTTCAGTTCAAGATAAAAATAATAATTCAAGAATAAAGAAAGCGTTTTTTTCTTTTTTTCAAGCCTTCAGAGCATTTTTTTTTTTAAAATCATAAGAGATTAGCGAGATAAGAGATTTTTTTTAAAAAAAATCATAGAGCGTTCGCCTTCCAATGAGATGAACCGGGTTCATATCCCAGCGGAGGCTGGTCAATACGAATTCCGCACCCGGCTTGCAGCGACCACAATGCTGACGTGAAATATCCCCAGTGGTAGACAGATCATGAGTTAGAGTCCCCTTGCCGTCAGACTAACCATGGGAGGTTCTCGTGGTCTTCCTCTCCATGTAACGCTAATGCTGGTTAGCTCCATCAAAAAGTCCTCCACGAAACAAATTTCTCTCAATACTCTATCCAGGAGTTCCCTTGTCTTCTGGATTGGGTTCAAAATTACAAGGCTACAGATTTGAACATTAGTAGTCGTAAACCCATTAAATTGGGTCGGCTGTTCAACGACGGTTATAAAATAAAATATAATACATTCCCCAAGAGCAAATTTATACTATTAAGCATTTTATTCTTCACATTAAACATTTTTAGTGATTGTTTCTTTTGTTACATTCACAGCTGATTATAATGCTGTTAATGATCTTTTTCATAATTCCGTCATAAGGAAATCGATAATATAGGGCTCCATAACACGCGCACACACACAAAAAAAAACAGCTGCCAAAATTCACATTAAAGTTACATCTCTAAATGCCAATAAATTACAACTCTAAAATTATCCATTGAGCTGATATGCTTAGTCCCCAAAACGAAAATAAACGTAATTGCTATTTATTTCTTATTTTATCGGTAGGATAGTACTATTTTATGCAATTAAATTTTTATAAAATTTATATTTTCAAAAATTTAAAGGAAGAAAGAATCGCTTTCGGCCATTTTCTTTAAAATTAGATAAAGAGAGAAAAAACGAGTAAAAAGGATTCAATTACATAAACGTTTTTACATTATTCTGCCACGCCAGCCGTGAAAAACAAAAGAGTAACGATTATATTATACTTTCTTTTTCCTAACATCGTAATTCATAAGCAATAAGTCTACAGTTACGGTTAAGCGGTAGAGCTTGTCATGAAATTAAAGAAAATCGGAGGAAACAGGACTTTTATCCATTGGCTTGCCAAGTTCGCTATTGTAGTGAATGTTTTTCCTTAAAAGTCTTTTTTAAAATTTCAGGTCAAGTACCTTTTTTGTGAAAAATGTGTTTGATTTTGAAATCAGTCAATTGAATAAAGACATTTTCTTTTTAAACGTTATTTATATATTTTCCTAGAGTTATCGTGGTTTTCACTAGCGAAGATCTGCTTTCTTTTGTTTGTTTAACATTTTTCCCCATCGTAGTTGAATACTAACCTATTTACTTGCACTTCAACAATTTAGATTTTTTTTTTTAAATTTATTTTTTATTTTTCTATTTTTTTTATTATTATTGAGAACGAGAAGTTTAAAATATTTTAAATTAACGAAATTTAACTTTAACCTAAACGAAAAAAAATTTAAAATATTTTAACAGCTATTCTCATTTTAGAAATCATATTATCAATCTGAAGTCATATTATGAATCTAATTTAATATGACGAAACCACAATACGGCTTTTCATAAATATATTTTCAATAATTATTAAGTTAAATAATAAAAATTAATAAATAATTCTTGAAATTAAGTTTTTGGTTGACTAAATTAAATAGTTCGAGACATGCAACCAGGGTAGCCATAGAACAAGGAAATCAGGAAAAGTTAGAGAATTTAATCAATCTGGAAAAAGCAGGGAATTTAAGTCTATTTGGAATTTAAAACCCAAAAAAATTAAGAAAATAGATAAATTTATGTTATTGATATTTCTTATTTATAAAACTAGTCTTATATTAATTTTAAAGGAAATTGCTTATTTTCTACTTAAATACATGCACTTTTTAGTATATTTCATGTTAAAAAATAAGGCATAGCACTGATATCACCACTGAGGATATTTAACGTCAGAACTGTAGTCGGCGCGAGCACTGTGCGGAAGTCGTATCTCTGGGATTCGAAATCGGTTCACCTCATTGGAAAGCGAATACTCTATTTCCTGAGCCACCACGGTTCTCCTCGAACCATTTTATAACCGTCGTTGAACAGCCGACCTGATTTTTTGTGGTTTACGACTACTAATGTTCACCTCCGTAGCCTTGTAATTTTGAACCCAATCCAGAAGACAAGTGTTTTTTTTTTTTAATTTTACTAATTAATAAAGCATTCACGTTGATTAGTGGATTGCGCGATGGTCTTTCTATATTAAAAAATACGATAGTATAATCCATTTGGGAGAACAGTAGTGAATAATGCGTAAAAAATGTTTAAAATGCGAAATGAATTTATATATTGATTTTGATACGCACCTTTTTCAAGAGTATATATTAGTTTTTAAAACTTATTTAAATCATTGAAAAGACTATTTTGAACTGTTTATTTCTTTAAACTCGCATTTTAACTTTTGTCCAAAATAAAAAAAGTTCTCTGACAATATCGTAGAAGACATTACAATTAAAATTAATTTATGTTTCATAAATTAGCATATTTAACTAACTTGGACAGAGTGTTTTATTAACTGTTAAGAAAATATTTGGGTCAATCATTTAGGACAAAAGCAAATTCATACAGCACGTTTTAATTTTCTATAATTCTAAAGGAACAAATGTTTATTTTCCACTTCGGAGTAGAATTAAAATTGTCGAAATTATCTTCTTTTCAGACGTTTTTAATACAATTAAAGACGAATAAAAATTCTTCAGAATAAAGGCCAACGAGAAGTTTTTTAAGAAATATGTATAATTACGCGTTTAAGTCGTTTTTTATAAAATAAGAAGGGGAAATCATTTTTACATCATTCTAAACTTTTCTTTATACTTAGCAATTTGTTTTTCACGAACTTTTCTCTTCATAACATCAAAGTAATTGGTTTTCAGAGGCGATTATTTTAATTGACCCTTAAAGATCACTGAATAATATAATACATAACTCGAAAGACATGCAATTTGAAAGGAACACTTTAGATGCAATTTGCTTGCTGAAAAGCCGAGGCATTTTCAATTATCTCCTTTTTTTATATACACACGATTCAATTTATTAACATTAGTGACACACATATTTTTTCTTTCACCTTACAAACAGAAAAGGTGAATCCTACTTTTGTTAATAAAAACGAGTTTCATCCTTTAGACGTTCTAAAGATCTAGCTCAATTACTTAGTTTTGTTTACCTATTAGAAATTCTCTGAGGGAGTCCACAAAATCATCCTTTTGTGTAGGGCCCATGTATTTAGGCCATGCCTAACCCGTTAGTGAACTTTTACCCTACTAATGTCAGGAATCGTTGATAAAAGCAATCTACATAAAACGTGTAAAGATCGTGCAAGAATCGTTATCTGTTGTAAGTGAAAGTCGGAAGTAAAAATTGGTTTGCACGCTTTGAGACCTCCTGTATTAATTGGTAGGAATTAATGGGGTTGGGCGGCGAAGCAAGTCTGAAGTAATTTAGGCAATTTTTATTATGTTTTCGTGATGCCACCAATGTAGTAAGCAGAGAGTATTGTGAACTTATAGGTTGGTAGGTTTTGATCTTGGTATGAATGTTTGTAATTATGATATCGTGTTTGAAAGGAAAAAAAAAGAAGACATCTCTCTTTTTGTTTAATAAGTGACTTAAAGTTGTTATTATTTTACAAAAGCCGAATTTAATTTGCTTGCATTCTCTTTATAATTACTTTTCGAAGCATCTACTTTTAAATTTTTTTTTTAAAAAACAACTGAAAAGTTTTTATTTAATGATGGAAAAGCAATACTTTTGTTTAAATCATTTCGTGTTTGAACTTTTATCTCGTGTCTTTAGTCTGAAACAGGGGAAATTTATTTTCCATTTTTTTAACATGTTGAATGCCATGGGGGTCACCGGTGACCAGCACTGAATTTGTTCGTAGCGCTACTGGGGTCACCGGTGACCGTCGAAGCCAAGATTATTAGAAACACATAATTCGAGTAAATTTTTAATGCTTTTAATTTTTTAATATTATGGTTTGAAGAAATTAATGCAATACATAATGAGAAAATCATTTTGGCCAGACGGGCAAGCCATGTAAATATTGCGTGGCATTCAACGTGTTAATCAAATCTTAATAAAGGTGATGAAAGAATAATTATCAAAAGACGAAGCAATTTACGATTTTTTTTCACTGTGTTGATTTATGTTAGGAAAATTCTGAAAATTTATTGCTTTATGTTTACAACTTAATCCAAATAATCTTTTCCATCTGGTGAATATATTTAAATTTTCTCAAATTACTGGATTCTCTGACTGGAAGGATGAAATTATTGTCTAATTAGTTACGTAAATGAAATTATCGAACTATCGAAAATTATATTACAATCTTTTATTAATAATTTTCATTCTATTTTTCTTGATAAAAAACCTCTGAATTTTTTTAAAAACAGATTTTATGTTTACACAATTTGTATCAAAAAACTAATGGCAATAAACTGGGATTAAAATATTCCGTTGTAAATCTGAATATTCCATAGAGTTATAAATAAGAAGGAGTGGGCATTCCTCCCCTTCCCTATTGGAGCGAGTGAAGTAACTGTCAAGTAGCGGCGGCCATGTTGGTATAACCAGAAACTTCGCGGAGCCGCTCAGGTTTCAAGAGGAAGAGTTAGGTTGTTTTTGATCTTTTCTCTTATGATTGGAAAATTTCGAAAACGAGATTGAAATAGTTTTGTTGTTAATACATAACACCTTTTTTCATTCAATTTTTCAACATTAGTTTCTTTTCTTCTTCCCAAAAAATAACGTTTTAAGATAGCTCTGTTTTACAACTGAATTAAAAAAAGAACTTCACAGCAGTTTTCGGGAACTTAGGTTCCTTTATATTTTATCTAGGCATTAAAAGTAATATATTATTGTTATTTAAGGGGGCAGCCTTCCAATTAAAAANTTTAATATCATTTTCAACAATAGACTAATTGCTAAAATAAAATCTATTACTCAGTTTGAAGAATGTTTAAACACGTACAGCTCTAGTTCAACGAAGTTCGATTTGTTTTGGTTGTACCAATATGGCGCCGCGGTTGCGGTTAAGGCTTCACGAGTTTACGGGCATGCCGTCTCCTCCTATTTATTACTCTATGGAATATTCATGTTTGTTCTGGGTCTTTTGTTTGGGACTCTCATTCGAATCAAAATGATTTAAAGAGGTAATGAAGAATATAATGATACTAAATTTGGTAAAGTAAGATGAAATGTAGAAGTACAGTGCACCAAAGAAAAACGGACCACCCTAAATAACTTTTGATCTAATGTTCATGTTCTAGGAATCATTCTTAATGGTTTGAGGCGTTGACCTCAAATAAGCTAATTAATTAGTGTAGGCGATTTTTTTTTAAATCACGAAATCAATCACAAAAAACGAACTTTCTCTGAATAAGCATGCCTTTTTTCCCAACGAATTCGGATTTCTGACCCCCAAAATACCGCAATCTGGAAAATATGGTCCCCATAGTTTAGTCAGGAGAGCGATCCAAAGTTTGGACCACTGAATGTTAATTTTAGTTTTTGCGTATTTCGCCACGTCTCGAGAAAATATTCGCTTATCCAAAAATAATTCAAAGCAGAAAATAAATTTTTGTTGATATTTATTATTATTTAATTTAAAATTAATCAAAAAAAATTTTGAATTGTAAGGTATACAATTTTATACATCATTTTTAACGTATGTAAATTTACATGGCAAAATTCAAATTTTGAACGAAATCGGTAGAATAGGTTTCTAAGAAATCGAATTTTAAATGTGCAATTTTCCATTTCTCAGGAGCTATTCAAATGATTTCACTCAAATTTTGTATTTTACCATGTAAAATTACATACTTTGAAGTGACGTAAAACATTGTATACTTTACAATTCGAAATTTTCTCAACCCCTATTTAATAAAAAAAATAATAAATATTTACCAAAACGTTTTTGCATGGAATTATCTTTGGATAAAACGAATTATATAATTGTGTGCAATTTTTTTTCAATTCGCTTAAAAATTTCTCAAGATATTGCAAAGTACGCAAAAAGTAATTTTTTTAGATTGCGGCTAGCCCCTGAATCCCAATCAGAATTAAAAATCCGAATTCATCGATAAAAATTATGTTTTTTTTCAGAGAAAGTACGCTTTTGTGTCTGATTTCATAACTTAAAATATCGTCTGCCGTAGTTAAATAGCATATTTGAGGTCACCCCCTCGAACCATTAAGAATGAGTCCTAAAACGTAAACATCTGATCATTAAATCAAAAAGGTGGTCTTTTTTTTTTTTTTTTTTTTTTTTTTTTTTTTTTTTTTTNTTTTTTTTTTTTTTTTTTTTTTTATCCTCACTGTAAATAGTTATTTAAAATTGCCATTGTTAAGCAGAAATCGCCTGAAGAAAAGAATGGAGCGATCGAAAACCAGATTTTCAAATTTTCAGGTAGCATGAAAAAATTTAAATGAGGTCAAATTTCTCTAATTTTTATTCCATTTCTATCGAAGTATATTGAAGTAAAAGTAAAGAGACTAATAGCTTCACTCTTGAGTCTGATTTACAAACAAAGTCTGATTCTACAAAAATTAGTAAAAATTATGGAATCCCCAGAACAAAAAGTTAAAGAAACTCTGACACATTTGCTTTCGTCCCAAACTTTCAATAGCAAAATTTTCCACTTTCGCCATCAACAGCTTTTAAAAAGAAAAGAAAAATCGTATAAAAAGCGCTGTGTATGTTAGCATAGGGCAGGGGTGGCGAACCTTCGTGCACCAACGTGCCATTTTTTCTAAAATATATTTTAATGAGGTCATAGACGTGCCGACAAATAGTTTTGACTGCTTGATTATTGGGTAAATAATAATACTAAATACTATCAACTCAAAACTCTTTATTTACTACGGAAAAATGCAATTCTCAACTTTTGCAATGTCTCAGTTATACGCGTAATTCAACTTAAAGTAACATCAGTGTGACTGCTGTTATTGCAGATTAGATGACAAATAACTTATATTAATGTTATCATATGTTAGTTTAAGCAGAACTGTTAATTGTTTTTGCTAGTTATTTATTGTTCGCTTGTTTTTTTATGGTTATTAATTGCTTTTTTTGGCATTAATTGTTCTTTTTTGGGAATTTTAATTGAATAGTTAATATGCTTCATAGAAAACTTTGTGATCGGTGGCGTGCCCAAAATATTGTGTCACGTGCCATAAGTGGCACGTGTGCCACTGGTTCGCCATCCCTGGCATAGGGTTTCTATCCATCTTACTCTATTTGTGGCCAGATATTTTGCCTCTTTCCTCTCTTCAATTCGCTTACAATCAGCTCCCAGCGTCAAGTATTTTTGGTCTTCTTTTTCTATTGCCTTGAGGATTCCCATCAAAAACTGGCTTTACTTGAAATTTTTCAAGTTTGCGCAGAACATGACCAATCCATTTCCATTTACGTTTTTTAATTCCCAGATCAATAGATGTCTGTTTTGCTTTTCTAAGGATTTCTGCATTACAAATTTTATGAAACTACTTGATACGCAAAATTCTTCTTAAGCAGTTGTTAATAAATATACTTGAAGTTTTCTCGTGTTATTTTTATTGCAGTGCTATGCTTGAGATCCATATACTAGTAGGACAGATTTAACATTAGTAATAGAATAGAATGATAAACTAAATATTTGTAATGATTTGTAGGCTTTCCAAGTTGCTGAAGACAGATTAGGCATTCCTGCTTTATTGGAGGCAGAGGACATGGTGAAATATGATGAACCTGATACCCTCAGTATTGCTACTTATGTTTCCCAATTCTACCAATTCTTTGAAAATGGCGCCTCCCACAAACGTAAGTAGATAACTTCCATTTTTATTTTAAACATGCATTTTTTAATAAGTATGTATATTTGTAAAAATTATTGTGGAATACTTCAAGGATATCTTCATAGTCTGAGTTTCTCAACCTATAAAATAGATCCTAACTTCAATTGACTTCTGGTGTATCTAAAATTAAAGTGCTATTTATTTTTCCGCTTTCACTGGAACATATTAATTTTTTTTATTTATTATTCAAAATTTATTTTTATGCTTTAATATTTTATCCTGTATTTAAAAAATAATATTGACCATCATTAAACATAATTAATTTAAACATCATGCATATAAAAGTTCTGATAATCATTAGATGTGGTTTGAAATGCTAATGAAATCCGAAAATTTCTGCTTGCAGTCATCGATACAATTGTTATTTCACTATCAATTAGAAAAACTTGCCCCATAAGGAGCAAGTCTTAATCTGACTCATCTGAATCGAATTCAATGATCAATTACCCATGTAGCACTATCTGCAATTCCGAAATATAGCACGATCAAATATTCTAAGGACTGTTAGCTATTTATTAGCTAACATAAAAAGAAAAAAGTTAATTTGCACACATACTTTAGAAATATTTATACATTTTTGTACAAAAGTACAACAAATAATGAGAGGCCAGGTGAAAGACAGTTTCTTTATATTACCTATTAAATTTTTTAAACAAATTTGAATAAAGACACGAAAATAATAAAATTTTATTAAAATTCTGAAAATGAATTTCAACATAAATTGGGGTGGGCATATTTTGTTCCTATTTTATGAAAATCACTATCAGCATGATAGTTTTGCATGAATTAACTCACAAGCATAAAATTGAAAATAATATTATATATGTATGGTAGAAAAAAATATTTACTGGTAGATGAAATGAGACTCATATTTTCGTTTCGATTTTCTTCTAGTCGGAGTTCCTGCACCAAAGCCTGTGAACAGCCGTGTAACTCCTTTGCCTTGCAACCGACCTCCTACCACAAGTATTCACACTGGACCCTTGAATAAGGTATAACCTGCTTTGTACTGCATTTTGTTTTTCTTTCTTTTTAAGAAAGGAATTATTCAATTCAAATACAGGAACGAATGTAACTGAATTCTATATTTTTAGTTTAGACGTGAGATTGTTCATTCTTAAGCAGATCATTACAAAAATCAAATAAAAATAATCGTATCACTCCTGATAAAAATTTTTCCTCTTTTAAATTCCTAACTTCTGCAATTATTTGTCGATGACATCTCATAAACTCAAAATAGTTTCGTTTCAGTTTTTACCTATTTAAAAATCATGTATTTAATAGTTCGAAAATTAATACCATTATTTAAACATGATTGCTATTATAAACTGTTTAAAAAAAACTTTTAATGCCTGATACTTTAAAACTTAAAAATATTTTCCTTCATTGTAAAAAATTTTTTTTATTAAAGAATGCTTTTTCTTGTATTTTTCAGCGCTGATTTTGATGCAGTGAACTTGGATAAAAGCCTAAAATATAAAACTGTAGAATTATTGCTCATCACCATTTCTGAATAATTCACTGAAAAAACCATGTTATTTTCTTCAACATAACTTTTCACATTTAGCGTCTTAAAAACATTCATTATCATTATCAGTGATTTTTTTTCTCAAACTATCTGCATAGATTTATGTATAATTTTATACTCATGCCTTTGCAATGTTTTTGTAAATTAGTTAACACTGCAGCCCTTATGCAAAGGCATCATGTTGTGCATATTTTTTTACTATAATCAATTTGTACTGTTGTATCTTTTTGTAGTTCAATATAATCTGTAGATTCCTATTTTATTTGCTATATTGTTACGTATATGTTTTCATTGTGTTGTATTTTTTATTGATCCATCAATAAGATGATTGTAACATATTGATTATGATAGATGATATAAATAACATTTTAAATTAGGTTTGTTAAATGCTAGTTCTTTTAAGCTAGAAATTTCTTCTTTATTAGTTTTGAAGTAAAAGTACCACCTTTTATACCTAAAGACTGTTTTATTAATAGACAATGCTGTAAATATTTTTGGATACATTTTATTGTTCCTCAGTGTTTTGTTGTATAAATAAACATATTATAATCAAAGTTAGAATGTTTTTGTTGCCCAGTACATTCATTATTAACAACTTGGAATTATGATTTGAGTTGAAGTCAAAACTCTCCATAGCTATCACTTTAACACTAGAAAAACGGATGAGGCCACTTTGGTTACTCTCGTTTTTTATTGCTCCTTAATTGAAAAAAAGGATCCAACCAAAGCCATAGGTTCTTGGTTCAATCCTTGGGCCGGGCAAGATTGAATCAGCCTTTCATCCCTTCAGTGGGTCGATAAAATGAGTACCCAGCATGCTTGGGAACTATACACTGGGGGTTCCGCGCTTGGCTGACCACCCAGCCAGAACATCTGCTCTTGCACCCCAGAGTCAGAGCCCAAGGTCAAGAAAACTGAGATAGGCACAGTAGGTATTGGCCCTCTATGGTCTGTCGCGCCACTGAGTTTAGTTTAATTTTTAAAAAAATTTCAAAAAGTATTTCAGACTTTTCATAATTTGATCCAATCGAAGTACTTATATGATCCTTCATGTGTTAATCTTATAAAAACGTATCTATACTTAGAATGATACCAGCCCCTTAGGTATTTTGGTAGGTATCCCATAACCCAGTGTTTCCCAAAGTGTGGTACGGGTACCCCCAGGGGTACGGGAACAGTTTAGCTGGGGTACGCGTTCTTACGCAAAATATCTTGCAACAAACGAAAATTTTAAAAATAAAGCTAGTCATGAAAATTTACGATTACGTATTTTTCAATTAGCTATTTTTTGATGAGTTAACAGTTAACAATTAGTTGTGTCAACAGCCATTTGTGATTTTTAACTTTTGTGTAATTTTTGTATAGTAAAAAATACATTCATTTTTGATTAGAGGTACACAGCGTTACGAAAAATTTAGAAAGGGTACACAAAAGTCATAAGTTTGGAAAACACTGCCATAATCCTAGGTAGTTCTGGCTATAAGGTACTCTTTGGTATATACAAGGTATCAGAGTTTTATTTAAGAAAAACAAAAGGGTTTCAGCATATCTATAATTATTATTTATAGAGAAAAGGAAACTCAATTATCTAAAAATCCAATGCATATGTATATTTAAAAAGCCAGTGTTCCGCTTGTTCAAATATTTTCGTTAACTAAATAGAATAAAATACTATAAAATTTAGATGATCAAGTTTATAATGTTTTCATTAAATTATGATGATATTTTAAGATTTTGGCTCTGTAATTGATCTACACACAAACAATCTGGAAGATTCCAAACTAGCTTCATCAGTCTTTCTAATTATATAGCAATGTTTAGTCTTTCTAGTGTTAAAATAACTTTTTATTATTAAGTTGGGAAATGCACAAGATGGCATTACCTTTATTATTTTTTTTAAATATTAAGCGTCCACTTTCCTGTGCTTCTCCGACTTAGTTAAAAAAAAATTATACTCATTTTATAGACAGGTTTTCTTAATTTTCGATGAAAATTTTACAATTAAGATCACAATACCATTCAAAAAAATTTCAAACTGAGAGAAGTAACGCTTGGTAACTTTTATGGATTTTCACTCGAAAATTTAAAATAATAAGTAATTTTTGATAGAACATTTAACATGGCACATTTTTCTGCATTCAGAGTTTTAATATTTAATTGAAACATATTTGGAATATTCTAAATAGAATTAAGGTAAAAAGCTATAGCCCGCCTTTTTATCATTGAAAGATAAACAAATTTTCCCAGTCGCATATATTACTGCAATTTTCTGTGAAAGTGAACCAGTATTGTGTTAGCGTCCCTTACAGAAAAATTGAGGTTATTTAAATACGCCATTAGGTTGAAAATGAATACCTTAAAATTTACATCAAATATACTTCCAGCGATATACATGTATCAACCTGAGGTATTTTAATTTGACATCTATGGAGGGGTAAATATTTACTACTTTAAGGTGTTTCGTTTTCAACCTTAGGTTATTACTTATCAACCTGAAGTATATTTTTTTACTCCCTTGGAAGTATTTATTCAACAACCTAAGGTGTTTCATTTAACACTTCAGGATCTACCTCAAGTGTATTTTTTTACTGTTGTAAAAGTAATTTTTTACTAACGTAAAAGTTTCATGTTCTACCTCAAGTTATTATTTTTCAACCTCAAATATATATTTTTATGCTTGTAGAGATATCTTTTTATCAACTTAAGATGAGTTATTTTACTCATCAAGTTATTTTAAATCAACCTCAGGTGTATTTTTCGACCGTGAGGTATTCGATGTTCTACTTTAGGTTATTATTTTTCACCCTCAAGTGTACATTTATATACTTATTGAGGTATTTATTTATCTACCTCCTAAGGTGTGCCATTTTGCACTTCCGGTTAATCAACCTTATTATAAATTAACATTAAGTGTATTTTTAGACACTTTGAAAGGCATGAGGTGTTCTATGTTCTTAGGTCATTATTCTTTACCTCAAGTATATATTTTTGTATTTTTTAGGGTATTAATATATCAACCTAAGATGCGATACTTTACTCTTCTAAAGTTGCTTTTTTAATACTTACGAAGGTAATAAATCAGGTGTTATACCGTCCGCCTAGTTTATTAACTTTTAACCACGCTATTATTTATATTATGTAAAGAATAGTGTATATCTTTATATTTTTTCACTAGTAGAGATCTTAATTTATCAACCTGAAGTTTTTAATATTACACCTTCGACAGTAATTGCTTCTTTTGTTAAGCTATAAAAGAAAGTTTCAAATACATAATTCTTCTGTAATTTCAATAGATTCAATTAAATTATCTTGAAATGACACTTATCACAAATTCCACAGTTAAACAAAATAAATCGATTTTTTTTAATGATTTAAATAAACTAGATGAAATACGTTTTCTTTTTCAGATAAATAGCACTCCACTTCTGTGATTTTTATTTCATCTTCATAGCTAAAAGCGTTTAAAAGTATGACAGGTACCTGAGCGCACAAAATAAAATAAACTGAAGAAAGTTCTACCATTAACAACATTCACAGAAATTCAATTATTTAATTCCAATCTTATTAGGAAATTTTAACTTTTTATTTTCCCATAATTTAACCTATATCTTTCATTAAGGTACTTATAAGTTTGATTATTATATTATTAAATCTTACAAATCTTTACGTAAACTCAATAAAACTAGTCTATACTTTTAAACTTTCTGTCAGATTTCATAAAACTAATAGTTTTTTAAACAATTTTTGACGCTGATTCTAAAAAGAACTTCTGTTATTGTCAATCGCATCAGAGTTTTGCAAAAAATAGTTTTTTCAATCAATGTAAACGTGAATAAACATTCGTTTAATAGCGTAAAATTTTTAGTTCTCCAATTTTTATGCAATGTTTACACTCATAATAAAACTAACTACAAGCTGATATGATCATTTGTTTTAAAGTTGTGAACAATTTTATAGAGTAAAATGTCGAAGAGAGAATGATTTGAAATAATGCTTTTAAAAAAGTTTGAGTAAATATTTCCTATGCAACTTATAATACCGAGCAGAATAAAACTAATTGTTAGCTGCTGCAATCATTAGTTTATATATAAAAACATATCTCATAGGGTGAAATTCAAAAAAATGCATATAACTTTCAAACAATAAATGCTTCGATTTGCAATTGATTTTATTCAATTCAGCATTAAAATTATGAAGAAACACTACTGATTTATTTCTAAAAAATTTAAGGTTTCCGATAATAAGGTTTTGCTCAATTTGTGTGTAAAGTGAACCATATGCAGCTGCATAAAAATGAAAACCTTGAAATAAATAATCATATCAACTTAAAATCAGGTTTTATTTAATTCTGCTTAATATTCTTATAAGTAATAACAATTTGCTTAGTAAATTAACGTGGGTAAATTGTGAAAAAATAACATATAGCCAAAAATAACATTAAAATCAAGCATGAAAAAGTAAGCTAGTACTGTTACTAGTTTTCAATTATCAAATATTAGGCTAACTAATGTTATCAACAAAAAAGTAATGTTTTTCAAAACATTAATTGCTTAAGTTTTAACATCACTTTAATTAAATCTTTTTTGAGCATCCAAGCATTCTTTTCTTAAAAATTATTAAATTCCAATTTTAATTCAAAACAATAAATAATTGAAAACAATTAAAATTACATGTTGAAAATTTTTTTAATTACTGTTTTGTAAAAGTAAAAAGGCAGTGTTTTGTATTTCTTCAATGATAGCAAACGATTCTATAATACCTACCAATAAGTTAGCGAAATCGTTTTCTAATTTTCAAATAGAAACCTTACGAATTTAATAAGACTTATTGACATGTAACGGTCTAGTTTTTAATTGCGCCATTATTTTCCAAAATCTGACAATTTTTGATAATAAATTATTTACTGCGAAATGCAAAGAACAAATTTTCGTCTTATACTGAATGACTGAAGCTACTGGTGACTGAAATGACGTTAAATAAGTTGGACAAAATTTAATATTTCGTCTTTCATATATTGAATCGATAGAAATTATAACTAAGAATTTAACCATATTATAATATTGCGTGTCAAACCCTTTTAAAAATAATACACGAAAATAAAAAATTTCAAAAAAATGTACAAAACTAGGCTACTATTAATTTACTTTTAATTATCGTATGCTAACAAAAGATTCTTTAATTTTAGATATTTATAAGCAAATAAATAGTCTGCTTTTCATACCTTTGGAAAATGGAATTCGGCAACTGATCATTATATATTCCATTAAAATAGTTCGAGCAACAACACATCTCATATTTTCGAATCTGTAACATTGAAATACTTGAAATCAAATGTAAAATGGCATGGATTTCTGATAATTATGGATTCGATTATGATTGCGAAGTTACTTATCAAAAAGTTTCAATCAGAGAACTTTCATCTGAACTTTCTCAAGCCATTATATACGGAATAATAATAGCGAAGCAAGAAATGCGACGAATCGATAGCAGAAAACGTAAGTAAAGCATTAGTAAAATTTTTGTTTATTTTAATTCATTTTATAAATATTTCCTACTTCATTTAGAATAGATAATCGCTCTTATGAAATATTTAACAAAAAGAAATTTAGAAGTTATGTATAGTCAAAATTATTTTAAGAAAATTTTTGTTCTCCGATTTTTCGAAACTAAGTTTTAGTTGTTTTTTTGCATGCTGACCGACAAAACAGAATAGCCAAAGTTTAGTATAGAATTTTTTGAAACTTCGAATGTAGATTTTGTATAATGTTAGTTATGTTCAAAACAAAAACTAGGGTCTAGTGTAAGTAAGTTTTTATCATCATTTAAGTAAGAAAGTTTAGAATTTTTAGTTGGAAAAAAAATTAATATTGGACAATATATTTATATCGGTTTTATTGCATATTTGAAATTTTATAAAGATTTTGGTTCAAAACACATTTAACTATATTATTGATCTAGAAAAAAAAAATATTTTGATCTATATGCATTACAATTTGTTTTTGAGCTGTTAGCATGACAGAAATCTTTTGTTTTTACTTGGAAATAAAAAGCATTGTATAAATTTTTTAAAGTTTCCTTTAGATTTATAATTTTAGGACTCAATAAAATTTTAATTTAGACTGTTTTAAAAATAATGTTACAGAACCTGGTCAGATACCTTAATCGATTAATTTTATGCATTTATTATCACTATCTTTGTAATATGGTACAAAGATTTTAAGAAAATTGACACATACTACCCTATGAAACACAAGAAAGGCTATAGATACAAAGCTTAAATCAGTTTTAATAATTTATATAGGGTCTACTTTTTGAATTAATAAAAAAAAAAAAAACATTAGTAACTATGAAAAATATTTATTTTTCCCCCTTCGAATATTCTCATTTGTTTTGAGAATCGAATTTTTTTTTCAAATATATATTTTTTTTACATGCTTTGTTTTAGTAGCTCAAAAATCAATAAGTATTCATTCGTTGATTGGTCAGATTACAATAGTACTTATTATGAGAATAAGAATACGGAAATTGATCCTAACTCAATTTTGAAAAGGGGGAGGGGAAGACAATTTATTTGCTTTTGCTAAAATCACAAATTTAACATGCATGTCATTTTCTTCTTTTTACAAAACTCATTTACATTTCAGTATACGGCCAGTAAAATAAAAAAAAGGAAATTATTTAATATCTTTCGATGTAATCATGAAATTTACAAGCATCAACTCTTAATTTTAATGATTTAAAGGGCCACCTAAAATTTGCTATCACTATATAGAGTAGGTATTTTAAGTTACGAAAACGGTTACAAAAAGGTACTATCTCCATAAAAATAGAACTTTTGCTTTCGTTAAATATAATTACAAAATTCGTTTACATATGCATTTAACTACAAAAGAGAGAACATTTAATTACAAAAGAAAAAATTTCTTTAAAAAAAGTATAAAAACTTTTGTGTCATTAAACTAAGTAATTTTAAATTTGAATATCTAAAATTTTAATTAGATAGGTTAAACCTTAAAAGTACGAGTATTTTTGAGTTATTACTTCGACAGAAATATGTAACAGATTTTTCGGATTTTAGCATTGACATGATTTACCAAGATGTTAAAATTTTTAGCTTTTAATTTAAAACTTTCTATAATTTTTATCTATTTTTAAACTTGATAACTAAAAATATATATTAATTTAAAATTATTCCTTTTCTAAACAATTATTTGATGTTATCTCTTCTTACATATTTAAGATCAAAATCCTAATCTTTAAGGGGGGAAATTATGTATATAAAAGAACATACAATTTCGAAATTTAAATTCTCGTCTGCGTAAACCATTACATATTTAAAACAAGCTTCTGTCATTCTCATGATTTGCGCAAATCTGATTATTAGATTGAAATCTATTGAGAGTGTTTTTAATTTAAATTATTTTATTTTTAATTTAAATTTCATATTCATAAAATTTTCTTACTTTTATTTATTTTTAAATCAAATGTATGCTTTATTTATGCGAACGATCTTCTCATCAAGTCCAAGCTATTTTATATATACAAAGAGAAACTGTGGGCCCAACATTTAAATACTAGTAAAATTGATCTTATATTATTATTATATACATATAATAATAATCCCCTATAAATAAAAAATTTATTATTATTAAATTAATTTCAAATATGGCACCAATAAGAGTGATAAAAATAATAAAATAATTTTTCATATGCTAGGCATCGGATTCAGTGTGTGTCATGCCACTTTAAATTGCTCCATCAAAGGTCAATAGGTTTATTCATACAGATTTTTTAAAACTATCAAAATTTTATATGCCGTAACGTCAAAATATATTTTATGAAAGTGGATAAGAATAATAATGATGATGAAAACAGAAAATCAGTTTCACTAGATTCCTTTTTGCAAATAGTTTTTTTATTTTATTTAATCTTACTTAATATTTATTTTACATATGAATAATATTTGTTTCACATATCAAAAAAAAAAAAAAAAAAAGGAAAGAAAATTTTAATCAAATTGATAGTCAGTTTTCTTCACTCAACTAATTCTAGATTAAGGTAGTTAAAAATAATCTAAATTATTATTGTTGCAAATAATTTCAAACATTTTGATTGCTTCATAAATATAAAAAAAATCTATAGAAAGAAGAACTTCACAAGAAAATATATAAACAAGCATATTCTTGAAGTTTTTTTAAGAGAAAAATTCATTTTTGAAATAACATGAATCTTCGTGTCGAATGCTCAGGTACTATGGTTTAGTTAGTTATTCAAATTTTATTTTGGAGTAGTTTGTCTTATATTTCTATAAATTAAATTGGTAGATCAAATAAAATGCTCGAAGCAATATGAAATAACAGCATTGACACTTTGATTTCCATTACTAGCTAAATAAATAAAAACGTATGTTAGTCGAATTATTCTAACACTGTGGTTCACTTGACCCTACATAAAGGGGAAAAAATAATAATTCAATAGATTTCTATACTTAACTTTTTAAATTTTTTTCCTTCTGTTTGTTATATTTTGCATGTATCTTGCTTTTGAAAATCGTTATAAGCGTTTCAAAAGTATTGCCAAAAGCAACATAGTTCGGTTCGGAATAAGTGAAAACATTCTTCTTACTTTTTGCACCTATCAAACTTCTTTTATTATTATTATTTTTGAAATAGAGCCTGGTACTGAGCGATATGTTCTTAATTTCACTCTGCGTGACTCTTTAACTGACACCATCAATGCTGCATGCTGGGGTGAAGAGAACGCTATCTCAAAATTAAGCACATCATTTACAATAGGTGATGTTGGTAAGAAAAAAAAACTTAAAATTATTTTAATTCTTAAACTTATCAAGTGCTGATTGAAAAGATCTCAAATTCTGAATATATTTTACAGTCAAGATAAGAAATCCTCAAATAATTGAGAGACAATCAGCTGCATCAGATGAAAAATTCAAGCCATCAACTACAAGGTAAAAGTTAGATATACCTACCTACTTGTCCTTAAACATAATATTACAAACTAAAGAGAATAATATAAATTCTGTAAATTTCTTTCATAAGAAAATGTTGTTAATTAAGTAATACCCAGTATTTAATTGTATAAATTACAGATAAATAGATTGGACAAATTGGGAATTCTTCAAACGTTAATTCTTTGATTTATATAATTGTATAGATTAATTTATTAGTTTATCATACTAAGCCTGAAATATTTCAGTTTCTGAAATTCGCGAACTTAGCATAATAGCTAGTGAATTTGATTATTTTGCATCACAGTTACATTAAGATTAAATATACAGTGAGTTCAAAAAATTCGTTTTTCAATATAACAGCAAAGATGAAAATATGTTAGATATAAACACTTTCATCAAAAGAGACTTACTGTCAATTAAAGTATGTTAATGATTATTTCAGCCTTTCATCCCTTCAGTGGTTCGATAAATGAGTACCAAGCATGCTTGGGAACTAAACACTGGGGGTTCCGCGTTCGGCTGACCACCTGACCGGAACATCTGCTCCTGCACACCAGAGACCAAGGTCAAGAAAACTGAGATGGGCACAGTAGGCCTTGGCCCTCTATGGGCTGTCACGCCACTGAGTTTAGTTTAATGATTATTTAGCTCCAAAAAAAAATCAAGAAATAACTATTTTAACTAAAATAAAATTTAAAAAATTCATATTTTGAGAAAATATGAATAGAATATTATAAATAAATAATGCAATGCGGAAAAAAAAATGAAACAACGTTTGATTCATGAGATGGATTTTCAACAAGAGACACAACAGTGTTAGGGTAAATTTCTCTTGAGTCAGTTATATCCCCAGTTTAGAAATCACGTATAAAAATCGGATTTCAAAAGAAAAATGAATGAATTTTTTTATCAAACTCTTTTCGATTCCATAGAAATAAAGCAATCTGATAAAAAAGCAATTCGAATTGTAGGCCTTAAATATAATATTAGTGCTGATGATATCTTAAGTGGAAAATATTAAAATTGGAAATGGGACATAAAAACGTTCTTCTCTGAATAATTTATTCCAATTTTCAACTACCAAAATATGATATGAAGCCATAGTCGGGAAAACATAGTCCTAATATGTAGCTTAATCAAGAGACTAGATAATTGTCTATATATATGCCCATATTTGTAATGGATATATGATTAATGTTAATATAATTTTTTTATGTATTTTGCCATATCTCTGTATGAATAAGACTTTTTTTGTTTTTGCATGCAATTACAAAGCTTGTTTATCCAAACACATTAAAATGTAATCTCTCCAAAGTACATTTTGATACATACTCATTTTTTATAACTACGGATAAGACTTTTACAAATGCACAAATATGTACTTAAGTGAACAATTACAAAACCAACTTAACCATGCCAAGTAAAAAAAATTGTGACTAAGATAATTCTAATTGAGCATAAAACTATTTGCATGACCAAAGTTCTACTTTTTTTCTGTTTGAAAAAAAATGCATCCTTTGATTTTAGTCCCTAAATAAATAAAACTATTAATTTATTTTTCTCAATTAAATGTGGCATCTATGTTCATTTGTTAATGTAATATACCATTTTTTTATTACTTTACAATAGTAATTATAAATAACTTATTTCTGACCATTCTACTAATTAAGCTGAAACTTGTGAAAAGTCACGTTTTTTTAAATTTATTTAATCAATTTATTTTTTGCTTGAAGCATGCTTAATTATCAACGCTTCTAATAATAATGAGCAATGTAAGTCTAAATATGGCATTTATTTAGCACATTCACTGTCATTAAAAAACATATTGGATAGCACTTTTTACTATTTCTGAAACTATTGTTTTTAAGTACTGTTTTTCAGCCTGTGAAAAACATTGAGTTTTTATTAAAATATTTCTATATAAGATAAAGTGACAAAGTTAGTTACTAATAGCATATAATTTTCATAAATGACAATAACAAACATTTTTTTTTTACTATTATATAATAAATTTAGTATGTCATGTTTTATTAGCATATACTGTAGTACATAAAAAGTAAATTGCAAAACTATACTTCTAAATAATTACATATGCATTTTGCAGTCATTATCAACTTAACATACACCCTTTGTATTCTGAAATCACTGTATGCCAAGCAGATGAAAGAAGAAGCTATGAAAAATTCTTACATTGTTCCACACGTTCTATTTCTGAAATAGTAAGCTTAGCAGATGTTGTTTATGATTGCCAAACAGCAGAAGGACTTATTATCAATCTGCTCGTAGCAATCAGAGAAGTAAGTAAAATTGGAACTTTTATGCTCAACTGATTAAAACTGATTATATTCATGAAAATCATCATTGATTGGTACAATATCAATAAAATATTTTTTGTAAGCAGTAATCAATTTTCTTCTAATTTTTCTCCACAAAAATTTTCTAAATTTTATTTTAAAGCCTCTGACATATCTTCATGCCATAGCTGACGAAAGACAAAACCATCAATTTTTTTTCCTTTTCTATGTTAAATTGCTTGCTTTTAAATCCTAACTTGTATTTGTACCTTCTTCACTATCATTAATATAAAATAGTAAACTGATCCATTTTTAATTATTATAGTCCTTGATCTTACATAGAATATACAAAAATAATTTAGCAAAGCTTTGATCAAAATAAACGCATATAACTTTATTCATGATACAAAGTAACACAATTTTAATAACTAATTCGCTGTTACGAATCTTAATTTTAATAACAGAAATGAACTTAAAATGAACTTTTGAACTTAAAATCTTAATTTTAAGTTCAAAAATGTAAGGTATTAAGGTAAGAGATTTCTGCAAATAAAACTTGATATAAATTCTGTTCATACTCATGATATGATATCTATTAATTTTTATCTTTAAAACATATCTACTTAAATACATATAAGTAAAATACATTGCAATATAGTTCTTTGATTTAAAGTTGACTGATGAAGATATTTTTAACAAGAGATTTACAAAAGGGAGAAATTATAATTGAACTTTCTTAATAATTTACACAAACCTTTTTTCTCTCATTTTCTTTAAAAAAAATATATAGATTCTATAAAATTTCGTTTTTCAGATTGGAACAGTGCAAAATGTTAAAACTAAAGATGGAAGAGAAGTTAAGAAATTTCAGTTATCAGTGTTTGACCAATCACATCCTAAGTTCAACATATTGATGTAAGATTTCTGCATAATTTCATTACCTAAAAACAAAAATAAATAAATTTAAGTGGAACATAAACTAGAAACAGATAGAACATAAATAAATAAAAAAAACTTACTTTTTACACTTAACATAAAAAAATTAATAAATTTTTTTTTTTTAAATATTAATTTAAAAAATCATATAGATGATTTAATAATGTCAAAGTTGTAACTAAAGCATAAATCAAGCCAATAGAATTAATTTGGGAATTGTAAAGTTTTTTTTTTCCTTTTGTAAACTGAATTGATATATAAATTTAATTCAATTGGTTGTTTGTTACTAAATTTATTGAGCTAGTTTATTTAGTTAAATACGAAAAAAAAATCGCATTTCAAAATAGAATCCTTAATTTTTTCTGATAATAAACACTTTTAACTCTGTTAATTAATGCATATTTTAAATTTATGATATCTATTAATTGAGAGTCAAAATCTTGCTTAAGGGCAGTATATTATAGTCTTTTAACTAATTGAGTATTTGCAACAGCTGAAGATTCATCTATTGTTCTCCCTAGAGAAAAACTAGTTTTTCTCCTTGCCATTCAATGAAATGTTGTGTTTCGAGAAAAAAAAATTCTTTACCAATGTGCTGAAATGGCAAAACATTCAATTGGTTACAATTAATTTTCGGAAATGGGATTATTGCCTATAATAATCTTAGACAAAATAATATTGAGAAATAAAAACTGCTTAAAAAATAAATGTTAATGACACTTAGAATATTCCCCGTAAGCTTTAATTTAAAATAAAGGAACTACAAACAACTAATTGTGATGTTTTATAACTACAAATTAGCAGAATTTCCGTTAATCATACAGGGTTAAAATAAATATAAACAATCAATAATTCGGTGCTAAATAATACTTAAATCAAGCACAAAATTAAAATACTTAAGACTTATACCAACACAATAAATAAAACTAAAATAATTCCAATAATATTTATTTATTATTATTTGCCTTTTCCGGTAGCTTTACAGTATAAGATTGAGCAAAACACATTTTTAGTAGTTCATCCTATCAAAATAATAAGGATTAACTATATTCAGTATCATTTGGCTTGATGCTGTAGCTCAAAGTCAACTCATGACAGTTAAAATTTACTACAATCTAGCAATTTCCTCTAGTGCTTATCACTTTCGAAGCACAGTAAAAAATCTCTTTTCACAGAAGTTATTCTATCATACTACATACATACCAAATATACTAATATTATGCATTGTACCTTTATTAATATATTTGCTACCTATTATGTCGATTTTTGACAATTTTCAAATGAATTTGTAACATTTCTTCATTATTTTTCTTTCTTTTCAGAAAATAACTTTTTTTTATTCCAACTATCGTTGATTTTAAATTATTTAGTTTTACAGAAACACATTTTAAAGGCATAACTATAAACAAAATAAACATGTAATTTCAAAAAACTTAAGACATACAAATTTGAAGAGTTGCATGTGCTACTTGTTCACATTAATGGTTTAGTTTATCTGATATAGCAAATAATACTTAATTAATTATTAAAGAAAGGGCAATAAACTCTTTTTTTAAATCATGAGAACTATAAACTAGGAAACATCAATATTCTTAACTGTTTATTTTTCAATAATATAAAACATCTTTTTTAAAATTAAAACTTATTCTTTTTCTAACTATGATGAATTCAAGGGCAACTAAACTTAGGATACAAAATGAAAACAGCGCTTTCAATCAAACCACAAAAGTTTTGTAGGTGGTGCTTTTCATCAGATTGCCATATTCTTCTGCCTTTTGATATATGACAGTACATCAAAATAATATTATTAGCATGTTTTAATGTTCCGACCACTTTGGGTGACTTTTTCATTAAGAACTTCATAAACTTCCTGTCTAGTTAGTTCCTCCTTTTCATTTAAATTACTTGAAGCTTGAACTTTAAGCTGTAAATATATTGCACAGGATGAAAGAAATTCTCCATGAGTAGTTCTTAAACGCACTAATCTACTAGTTCCATCTTTATCTGAGGAAATATAAATTACACAATGGCTAAAATTCACATTTTTGATTAAATTCACATTTTTCATTTAAAACAATATTACCAATTTGTTTGGATTTCTCTGGAAGTTTCAAAGATTGTTTGAGCAGCACTTGACCAAAGTACTCTATTCTAAATCTCTGCCTCAAATTTTCTCCTAGACGTTGATATTGAATTTGAGAAATTTCCTTTATCTATATGATTCAGATCAGGCACTTTCACTTCTTGAATAGGTTGATGGAACATTTCTGGAATTAAAGACCGTAATCATATGGATAATCTAATACTTATATAATAGGAAATTCGCATTTATGTAAAAATTAAAATTGGCATTTTTGTGTGTCAAACTTGCATTACCTAATATGTGCCGTAGTATTTTCTTCAGACTGAATAAGGCGCTTCCAAAAACCTCCCTATTAAGCTGTGGGAGAGTTGAAAAAGTTATTTGTGCTAACAAAATCACTTCTATTATTGCTCTAAACGACTAGAAGTTGTTCCCAGCATGCTATAAATCTTCTTAAGCTCAATAGGAACGCTTTAGTTAATAAAGACTGCACTAGCTCTAAATGAACAGGTCTAAAGACAGCACAGATTTATATAGAACAACCCATATTTTGGCTCCGACCCTCAGAACAAGTGGAACAGCAAAATCAACACCACAAGTTTTGAACATTGATACATCTCTGATTTTATCTTCTGATAGTGCAACGGGATTATACCTTCCTAAACGTCTAAACACCAAAATGAGATACTGGTGCTTAGACACTGATTAAGGTTCTTGTTCATAGAATCAAAACTATAGTATATCTATTTCTGTGCTGTCATTATTGCTTTAATAATAGATTATATTGATACATAACAAAAATTATTATACACATAGAAGAAGAAATAATTATTAAAGCTTTTGCTTTTTTATAAGAGTAATCCATTTTAAATTGATATAATAATAAATAATTTGTAATATGTTTATAAAAATTACTACAGTCTCATTATTGGGCTTCTCAAAATACATCACTAGTGTAATAAGTTTTTATTAATGATATCCCGAATAACAGCTTCCTTTTCTTTACAGATGGGGAGAAGAAACAGCAAATTTCATTATAAAGTATTGCCAAAAGAGAAGTAGTAAGAAATGCACAGATTATAATTTTAATTATTAAAAAAAAAAAAAAAAAAAAAAAAAAAAAAAAAAAAAAAAAAAAAAAAAAAAAAAANGTATTTATAAATAACCCTCAAAACTTAAACTTATTTTTTTACAAGCAATAATGCAAGTTAATGCCTCTATAGCAGAACCTTTGTGTGTTAAAAATTAAAATGCTGTTTTAAACAATTCTATAGCTTTATGATTATGAAATAGGTGCCTTTTTTCCCTTTAGTGACATTAAAAATATAAAGAGTACTTTTGTATAATCAACTTCACATTTATATGTTGTTACATTTGCAAGAAACAACTAGCTGTATAGAAGTTCAAAAGCAAAAGATATTAATACAAAAAAAATACCCCTATATTGTGTTTAGAAACTATGTGCGAGAGGTTTATTAATTAAATAATCCTCTTTTAAAGACAAGAGCATCGAAAGATATCACTGCTATAGACAATAACAAGTTCATATGCTTCACAAAATTGTAATTCCATATCAGTTGCAAGATGTTTCTGATCTGTTATACTGTTAAATTTAACATCACTACTATAATCTCTAGACACTTTACAGCAATCTGCTCTGCCTTACCAAATAACTGATACATTAACAGTACCTTGCCCAGGACAATTTTTAAGTGGATTTAATCTACTATGGTTGTAGTTGTATCCCTTTCACACAATGCTTCTATGAAACAAAGGTTTTTTTACACAGATTATTTTCATGAAACAGTGATTAACAGTTTAAAAAAAAATTAAACATTCCTCCAATTTACCATTTGACCATGAAGTAGTTTATTTTAGTGGCATTCAGAGATTTCAGTAAAAGAGCCTGAAATACATCTACATTTAATGTAATCTTGAACTTTGAGTAGAAATGCTTCATAACATGCAGATAAATATTTATGAATATTTATGCTTCATAACATGCAGATTAATATTTATTATCATTTTAAATTTGACTGCAATAACAGGATTAAATGCAAATTCACAGATATATTAAAATTATTAGACAATATACCTTATCAAATATTTTGTGTGAGAAATTTTAATTTGACTTCCTGTTATTAGATGAATAAAAGTTTAACAACTAGTCGAATATTTTTAATTCCTGATTTATCTGTCATTTTATCAATTTCTAAGCAACTTTCCTTTTAACTGAAAATCTCAACAATTTAACAGTAAAAATTATTATTTTTTAAAATAGTTTTTCATTTAGATGAAGCAAACATAGAATTATTTCTATAATTTTAAAAGAAAATGGGTAGGTTTTATTATTAATACTTTCTTTTGTAGCTTTAACAATACTTAATTCTCTTTGTATTATTAATTCGTTTAAAGATTTAAAAATGGCAAATAGTTAAAACTCTAAAGCTTTTGATTTTTATAAAAGCTGGAAATATGAATACTTGATATAATTTAGCAAAATATCAATTAAGCTGATAATGAATTTAATTTTTTTGCATCAATCATTTTAATTATTTACTGATAAAAAATTTTATAAACCAACCAAGCAAATTATTCAACCTCGTCAAATACTGAATAATAACAGAGAATTCACTTTATCCCTAACAGTGAAATTACAGTAAAATAATACAAATAATACATCTGAATTTTTATAAAAGGAATTCAATTCTAAAATTTATGCAATAAAATCTTAAAATAATCACAAGATTTCAGTCAATGAAAGATATTTGGTGGTTACAGTAAAACTGGAAAGAAAGAAAAAACAAGAATACAAACAATATTGATGGAATGAAAATTAATTTTAGCAAACAACTTATTGAAAAAAGTTTTTTAACAGTCCCTTGACAAATAAAAAAAATCTGATTAGATGTATCAAGGAATAAAAAAAAGATTACTAGTCAAATATATAATATAAGTTAAATAATAGTATAAAGTCCACACAATCAACATTTCGTCATTGCCTCTCTTTCTATTAATTCATAAATTTTGTATACTTATTTACATAATTTATGTTACAGAAATATTATCATTTAAATTTTATTCTAAATGTATCGACATTTAGAATAAAATTGAAAAGATAATATTTCTGTAACATAGATTTGAAATACAACAGTAAAATGATAAGTCATTTATCGACAATAATCTGATATTTTTAAGTGTCACGAAAATTAATGCTCACCTTTCAAAAGCAGCATAGATTTATTCAAGAATTCTTTTTTTCATTATGAAATTCAAATAACAAAAACGGTCAGCCCTACAAACATTATGGAACATAAAATAAATTATTAAAAGCATACACATTACAGAAAAACAACATATTCATGTCTATAAAAGTAAAGACATTATGATTAAAACGAATGTATTAGAAATGCATTATTTAAAGAATGGAAATATTTCGAAACTTTATAAGTTTAAATAATTGAAATTGCATTTGAATATTGATTGCAATTGAGTTTTATAATAAGATTGTCTTCATATAAACTAAAAACCATAAATATCTCTATCGATAACTCTATTCATTATTCTTAACTATAAAATATAAATAAATAAATACTTCATGATAATCATATTTTAAATTCAATATACAATGGAGAAAAATGATTTGGTTCAAATAGAATTTAAGCAATAAATAAAAATATATAAATGCTTTTTAAAATGATTGCTTAAAATATTCTTATCCGAATGCTTCTTTATAAGAGGTTTTGATGTAAAGAATTGAAAATTGAAAGACGTCAATAATAATAAATATATATTTCCTTATTATATTTTCATCATATAGTAAAGCAAAATACTTTTCCTTATAAACATTTACTTTATAACAAAAATAAATAAATCATGCATTGTTCTCTTAAAATTTCTTTCAGTCCTTTTGATAACTGATATAAAGATCAACTATAATACTTTTACGAAAGAAATGGCAGGAACTACTGGCAACATGACTATATTCACTCCTGATCCTGGTCAGTATAGCATATTATTATTTTGTTACAAGACATTTTGAAACATTTCAGTAATTTAATTTAAATTTTTTTTCTGTACAGATATCCCCGATGCTCGAGTACTCTATCAGTATGCAATGAAAACTGCTTTGCCAGCTGATAAAATAAAAGATTCCAACTCTACTGGTAAAAAAATTTTTGATACTGCAATTTTTAAGGCAAAAATAATAAAATAATTTAATTATTTTCATTTTATAAAAAAATTATGATTTTACTCACAAAAATCTAAACAATCATTTTATTTTTCTCCTGTCAACGAACTGAGTGGCACAAAAAGCTTTATCACTATAGCAGGTCATTCAAAAAGGAATATACAAACATTGAGTGCATATACAAGTAATATTTTAATTTCCTCTTTCTGTACTAGTTTGTATATTAGTTTACATATCACCAAGACAGAATTTAACAATGTTTAAATAACCTGAAATGTTATTGAAGAAGTCACACTAAATCTAGAGTGTAAAAAAATTAATATATATTGAGAAATGATATAAAAATCAGTAATATCACTTCATCTAATATATTTTGATTAGGCGAGAAATAACAGTTTTGGTATTCAATACTTTTTTTTTAAATAAAAAATAGACTTTTATATTTGGCAGCTTTTCTTTTAGAATAGAAAAATTTTGAAAACTAAGGAAAAAATATCACAGAAAAGAAGAAAATGGTGCATCAGTTGATTTTACAAAACTAATCTATATAAAACTCAATGCACAGTTTGCATGTGTTTAGATGAAATTTTTTCTCATATATTTCAAAAGAAAAATATTATTTAATAGCAAAAATAAAAAATAGAAATGGTTAGCTTAATGACGAAAAATAAAAATGAAGATGATAAATAAATAAATACAAAAGTTTCTATTCCAAAATTTTCTGCTGTAACTGATTTCTGCCCCCAAGCATAAAGTTAATGTATTTCAAACTCTTATGAATAATAACTAAATTTTTAAATTCGATAAAAGTCAAAAGATAATAATGAAGCAGATAGCTAAGAAAATAGAGATTTTATAATTTGAATAAAAACTTTGAAAATAATTAATTATAAAACAATTATACTTCCTTAATCATAAACAAGAGCTTTTTGATAAGCAAAAGGAAATACAAATTTAAAAAAAAAAAAAAAAAAAAATGAGCATTCAGCAAATGAACTAATAGATATTTAACCTCCTACGTAGTTAACTCTGGGGAATGTTCTAAAGGATTTTCCTAGTTAAAATCCACTTTTGCATAGAACAAAATGAGAAAACTGGTCTTTTTTCTTTTTCTTTTTTTTTTTAAGAAGAAGAAAGCTTTCTGTTAGAAGTTTAGAAAAAGCTGGAACTAATGCTTAGAAGGTTAATTAAAGTACTATGCACAATTTCAAGTCATTTAGAGAGCATTATAGGACTTTAAATGCTAGACTGATCCCTCAATTACATAATTGAAATAGGAGATTTTATTTTAAAAATACAAATTAAAAACTTCTTTTCAGACGTCTCAACAACATATACCATGGAGGAAATATTAAAGTTCATACATTCAACAGAAATGAACCTAGATGAAATTCAAGGAACAGTAAATGCAATTATTTCATTTTTTGATATCGACGGAACGAGTAATACAACAGCATTCAGATGGTAATACTAGGATATTTGTAGTTTTTCTTTCCTTTTTTAATTAAAAAAAACAAAAAAAAAAAACATTTGTAATATACACAATGAATAACAAATTGATGAAATACTTCATAACCTATTAGATAATTTGCTTCCTTTTTTTTCCAGTCCAAAATGTATGCAACCACTGCAAAGTTCGGCCGACAAATGTAAAGATGAAAATTGTGACATTGGAAACAGCTTAACAACTTTACCTGCTGAAGAAATATATAATTTCATAATAAGATTATCAGATCACTCAGGAAGTATTGAAAGATGTCACTTAAGTGGAAATGCAGCTAAAAATATGCTAGGAATTGAAGTATGTATATTACATAATGAAATACAGCATGAAATCCATTGTAAAAAAATTTCTTGTTGACAATTTTTTAAACAAGATAAGCTAAGAAATTTTTTTATGAAAAATTATTAACAAAAAGGGTAAAAAAAAGCGGTTTAAGCATTATTAAGAAAATTCTATGGGAAGCAATGAATGTGAACATCTGAGTAATTATTTCAGTAGCGGAGTATACTGAAGCAGAGACCTTACCAAAGTAGCACGTTAAGTCAGTATAATTATTTGCACCACCCAGTATATGAATTTTGCTTTCAATATGTAATCGATTCCCGTAATAACTGGTAATATCTGCCGTGTTGTGTTGGTGACCATTTCAGGTTTTTAATAAATATGTATTAAAGAACTTTGTTTCTTTAGCTTTTAGCTGTGCTGTAGAGTAATTTTTTTTCAATCAATTTGATTTTGTAGATAAAACCCTATAGTACTTACATTTGAAAACAACTCTAATTTAAACAAGTATCATTCACTTTAAAATAAAAAACAATTTAAAAAAAAAAAATTATTTTTATAGCACTAAAACAATTGAAAATTTTTATACATATTATACCTTAGACCAGTCTTTGGAGTAGTCTATGGTATGTGCAATAAGCATACATAAATTTCCCTATACATTATATCATTTACAATAAATTTTTATGTTTTCAAGAAAATTAAAATATTTGAAATATTCTGATAAATATTCTTTTGTATTACATATATATGATTATGATTAATTTTAACTTATGCAGGATACCTAAAAAATAATTAAGTTTTAATTGTTTGAATGAATATTTAAATTCAACCTGCTAACAAGTTTAAGAGAAAAGAACTCAAAACGAGTATTATCCCAGGAGCAAAATATCCAATGGTGCAAGATGTAACATATGATGGTTCAAGATACAAACATTGTACCATGTTGTACCTTAGACTGATTTTTCAAACTTTTCAAACTTTCTTATACATATTTTTCAAACTTTCTTATAAGTATATGAGAGAATTCTTTAACAAAAAATATTACATTAATGATTAAAAATATTAGAAAAGCATATCATTAATTTTAGCATAAAAAATTTAAAAGTTGAAATTGGTTCAAAGCACAACATACTCCACTATTTTTTCTGCCAGGAATCGTTCTAGAAAATTTTATATATCAAAATTGTCTTTAAAGCTGTATTTGCTGCAGTTTAAATATAAAGTTTTTTTTTCCTAATAAGGGATATAATAAGGTTAATAATTAATAAAGGTAAGTTTGAAAAAAAGATTGCCTTTTTCTCTCCACAAATATGCATTTATCTAATTCAATATGGATATCAGTTTCACGTAAATACTTATGAGTAACTTTAGTAATTAACAGGTTATTTCTTGAATTTTAAAACTTGCAGTTTAAAAATTAGTTTCAAATTAAATGTTCATAAGTAATTTATTGGTTGAAAATTATATTTAGTTACCAATATAAAGCTTTAAAATTTGTTATTTTACTATAAATAATAAAAAAAAATTATATGGATACAAATAGCAACATTTCAGAAAGCTTTGATCACTAACTTTCAAAATATCTTAAACATCCTCCAAGGGTTACTGTAATGGCAGCTATCACCAATTCAAAATAAAATTTAAGAGGATTCTAAACGAATTTAGAAACATAAAAAATTATGCAACAAAAAAATTTCAAGTTCAGGTTTTCTGAAAACATATTTGTAATATTTAACTTCAGTGACATTTAAATAAATGATAACAAAAAAAAAAAAAAAAAAAAATCTATAGTAAGTCTTAAGTATATATCTACAGTATAGCAATATACTAAATTTTTTTTTTCTTAAAGATTTCTATTTTTTAACAAGGATTTATCTCGGTAACTACTAACTAAACTTGGATTCGCTCCTAATTTAGACAGATAATTTTCACATTTTTGGTAAAAATCAGGAGATAAATTGTATTTTGAGGAATTGGACATTAAAAAATTTTTTAATAAATAAAATTAACATTAAATTAACAATTTAAACATTTTTTTTAATAATTAAAAAATAAGTATAAACATGTATCTATTTTTTAATTCCATTATACTTTTTTAATTATAAATTCGAAATTTGAGAGAGAACTACTTCAGTTCTTGGATTTATAAAATTGTCATGAACTTTAAATATTTTGTTTACAAGACATAAAAGCAATATTGTAATATTTGCTGGTACTTTTCCATTTTGCTGGTGCAAGTAAATTTAGCTATTCAATTTATTTTTTAAAAAAAATAGCCATCACATAAATTAAAAAAATTTTTTATTTATTTATTTGAGTACAGTGACTTTACATTGGCAGTTTTTCCACCCGTACTGACAAAACTAAAAAGCACTTATTTGTAGTAAGCTTTAAAATTACACTTAAATACATCAAGTACTAATAACAGAAACTAATTTCAAACTAAAAGCTCATAAGAACTCCAGATTTAGATCACTATGAAAAACTAATTTTAATTACTATTATCAATTCACTTACAGAATTTTGATTTGAACATTCCTCTCTGGACAATTGATAGCTAAATTTAAAAGATGAATTGAGTCAGTTTCAAAATGATTCAAAGAGTTCAAGATTTCAATTGTAATTACTCTCAATTATGTGATGAAAAAAATTAAATTTTAGCGATATCAGAATATACTATACCAGAAAAGTAAAAAATGTTTAGCATGTGCATGCTTACGAACATACGATAAATAAGAATACAACACATGAATACTTATTTCATATTACATCATAAAAATTCTTATATCTTTGACAATAGGTAGCAGATTTTTTGCGATTATCTGATGATGATAAAACCAACCTAAAATGGAATTTCTTGTTTGAAAGAGTCTCAGTACAATTTAAGGTAAGTGATACAATGCATGGTACGGCAATAAGTGAAAAATAACTTTTAATGTGCTAAAAGATGTTAGTTTTTTTACACGAGTAAAACAAAAATAAAAAGTTTGGATTTAAATAAAAATAAATAACAAAGTTTTTATAGTCATTTCTCATATGATTAATTGTGAATAACAAAACACTTAAATATATAAAAGTAATTTTACTCTTAAAATAACAAAGTTGCATTTTTTTCCCCTCTCTTTTTTTAGCTAGTCAGTTAAAAGGATTCCACAACTATGATTATTAACTATTATTACTACATTATCATTGGAAGCTACTTTCTCAAATATATTTTTATTAGATATAGTTTTATTTTATATAAGAAATTTCAACAATTTAATCTTCACTATTAAAAGGTGTTAAAAATTGATGTATAAAATTCACATTTAATACACTTTTACATTTACAGTTGGTTTTAATACCTCCCATTTTGTTCATGGTACCATTATTCTTGATAGTAATTTGAATTATAAGCAAAATTGTTTTTTTAACTTAAAAAATGTAGTGAAGTTTGTCCCTTTTAATATTTTTAGCAAGAACTGAATTTTTACTGAGCACCTCCACTAAGTAACCACTTAATAATTCCACATTGTGTTTTCATAATGATATATATACACTGTTATTCTTTCTTACAAATACAGAGCATGATGTAATTTCTGTTGAAAATACTATTATCATATTTTTAACTGTTATTTCAGTAATTAAATTTACAAAATAGCATATGATGAAGAGATTATGTTATTTATGCACAAAAAGATAATTATGAAAATGTTGAATAGAAGGATTACAAAAAAGCAACATAAAAATGTGTAAAAATCAGTATACCAATAATCAAATTCATTGAATACTATATTAGCCTAAAAATAAGGAATATTATTGTAACAAAAGTTTATGATTTGATAAACTGAACATTGCATTGAACTGAAAAATGACTAACTTTTATCATTAACACATAAGTAGTAAAAATATACTTTAATTACAATGTTACTACTTTAATTTATTTTTAATATAATTTAATTTAAACTGGCATTTCAAAAGAAATTAAATAAACAAATATTTCTCAATTAGTTGGTGTGAATAAGTGAAGTTACAGATACTTACAAGTCTTGAGTTAAACAAAATATTCTAGGAGAGTACTTCTTCAGTAAATTTACACTCTTTAGGACAATATTGTTCTGTCTGAGTTAAAACTTTCATTGTTCTTTATCATAAACCATTTTGTTCCCATGAATAGTTCTTTCACACTACTAAATATGGAAGAGAAAGCTCGGCGAACTCTAAAAAATTCAAGGATTTCTGAGGTAAAAATTATAAATATAATTTAATTTTACATATTTTATAAAGTAAAATATTTATCTTAAAAACTATTCACCTATCATCTTTTATGCTATTACAAAAAGTATAAATTATTTTAATTACAATTAATGAAAAAAAAGTCCAATATTTTTCAAGAAAGTAATCTATCAGAAGATTACAAAAATGTACAGTCAAGTTTTTTAAAATTTAAGTTTGATTTTTTTTCTTTCCACCTTGAGGTTAAAAATGTAATTATAAAAAATAATTTCACCTATTTTACAATCAGGAAAGTCACGTTTTATCTGCCAAGGTATTTTTTTAACATGAGTGGTTATTTATTTAGCTGTGACAGAAAGTTTCAGAATTAATAATTCATTTATTGCAAAATCTAAAAAAGATAGTTACATTTATTAAAATCAATATGTCCTATTCCTTAATTAACCTTTGACTCTAACTATGGATACATTATATGGATACAAATAGTTGTTACAAAAACTGTAACAAAACAAATATAACATAAAGTATTGCCATAATCAACAAAATTTAGTGGTAGCATATATTATGTTAGTTGTAATATATAAATCAACATATGTTGAATGTATTATTTTTTATTAAATTTAGCATTTTACAAGGAAATTATAACTCTTAAAAAAACACAAAAAATGGTAAAAAAAGAGCATGGTTTATCTTTAAATGTAACATTTAGCGTTAAATAAGAAGCCAATAATATATAATTCAGTACATAACTGAAAACAATATTATCCATAGAACCATATTATAAATTCAGCAAGAAATGTTAATAGTTAAATAGAAGTTTAAAACAACTTCTTTAAATACTCTTCATCAATATTCATTTGCTATAATCTATGATTAAACATACTTTTCTTCTCCTTTCCTTTTAGTTATCTTACTCTACAATGGGCAATGGCAGATACTTCTTTCGAATATTATCATGTTGTAAAATGGAATAAAAAGCAATAAACATTTACTTAAAAAAAAGGTGTTTATATTTATTATTTTTTTACATTCACTTCATACAGAAAATTCATATATAGTATTTTATGAAAAATCTTAAGTCTTCATATTCACCACACACATTGTTCTTTAATAAGATAATAACAAAACAGGAACAAAACAAAATTAAAAGTTATTATTTAGAATCGTTTTCTCTTTAGAATTTCAGGTCGCCAATTCACAGGATGAGTCTCTTCTGAAGCAGTCTCATCTTCCTTGAATATTTTAACTGTTTTATCAGCTTCGGCAGATAACAATCTACTGCCACTTTGGTCAAAAGTACAGGCAAATATACCAGCTTCACTATCAATAGATCCAGGTTGCACAGGTGCTTGTAAACGCTGGAAGTTATAACCAGTTTTCCAATCCCAAAAATACAATGTACCATTGTCACCTCCAGATACCAACACATTATCAACATTAATCCCCAAGCAATTGACAATAGCTGAATGTCCAGTAAGATTCTGCACAAAATTTCCATCAGGACAACGCCATTGCTTTATATTATCAGGAGCTCCTGATGCAAACATATTCAACCTAGGATGAATAAGTAATGCACGGATGCTCTTTTTATGATGGGTTAATGTCACTCTAGTCTTGCCAGCCACTAAATCCCATAAGCGAATCGTGCAGTCATGGCTACCTGTCATAACTTGTGGCTCAGTTGCTTGACACTGAACACTAGCCACTGTATTAGTATGGCCTGACAGGGTGTGTATATTAGCCTTGGTTCTCATATCCCAAACTCTTGCAGATGAATCTCGTCCACCTGTTACTAAAATATCAATAGTAGGATGGAGTGATAATGCATATACTCCACTAAGATGACCATGGTAATGTCGTATAACCTTGTTATATTCCAAATCCCAGCATTTCACTTGCTTATCTTCACCACAAGAGAATAAATAAGGTTGTCTAGAGCTTATTGCAAGACCTCTAACAGCACTAATATGGCCTGTAAGGGAAAGCTTCAATTTCCCACTAGCTAAATCCCATATCTTAATTATTCTATCATTTGAGCCAGTTGCAAACCAATCGTTTCCCGGTTCTACGGCTAAACAACGAACCCAACCTAAATGGCCACTAACAACTCTGTATAATTTCCAAGGGGGATGCCATTGAGGTTTGGGTAAGCTCGGCATTCGTCTCATTGTAAGAGCTTGTTGCTGTTGACCAGCTAATACTAAAGCTTGAGATGGTGGCATGGTTGGTGTAGGTAATTGATAAATTTCCTCAGTCCCTGGTGGAGGAGCATCGGTTTCATATAGCTCACGCCCTTCAAATTCATTCATAGTTGTTCGTCTTTCGTAATGAACGGTTTGATTCTCATCATTTTTAAGATTCTCAGAATCATTTTCAGATTCTTCCAAAAGTTTCTTGTTTTTCACTAGATGCATAACAGGCCCAAATTCGTCTCTAGCTTTAATCATCATCTTTAGCTTATCACTTTGCTCATTCGGTGGAGGTGGATTAGCCTGATCGGCTAAAAACATGTCATGAGTTCGTTTCAGCGATCGGAAAACCAATGTGTGAACCGAATGTTTTTGTACATCCATGTTTTGTACTTTATAAAATAATTAGAAGAAAGTAAAAGGCACACAATCAAAAACCGTAAGTGCAAAAAAGTACATAGAATTTAAATTAAACAATATTAAAGAATAATATAAGTGAAATAAAATTTAATTATGCAAACAATGTGAAGTCTGGATCACCCGCTGAAAAACAACAAGGTAAACAAGAAAATTTATTTAATGCAGTTGCAGTGAAAAAAAGTTGTTTAACAAAAAAAAAATTGGATTTAGAATTCAATTTTGTGATTGGTCCACATGCGTTGCAACAAAGCAGCAAGAACTAAGATTGTAACTGTCATCTTTCATATTTGTTGTAAAGAATGGCAACAAGTTATTAAAATCAACAAAATAAGGGCAATTGTAATGGTTGTCATGAATGCGTGTAGAAAAATAATATTGAATTAAATGAAGTTTATGCAAGTTCTTCAATAATTATTGTGCATTGATTAACTTTGATGATTTATCTCACAGTTTTGCAAAAGCTTTTCTTAAACTTCTCTATAACTGTATAAACAAATAAAATAGGTAGGCTTAAACTGAAATAGAATTGTTTTTCAACTGCTCTACATTCGAAATAAATTATTTAGTACTTTTCTTAAAACTTTAGTGAACTTTAATTGTATTAATACCTTGTAACTTTCTATCTTTCAGATCATTATTATTTCATGTAATTTTTTTAATTTATTTTTCTGCTGATTCATAAATTGTTATTTTCACTAATTATAGAACCAACAATTATCACCTTTTCTTTTGAACATAATTAGTTCTCATTTCACAAAATATGCATGCATTAGGATAGGCTGAAAATTTTATATCATTCTTGCTTTTAGATTCTTATTACGTAGTAGCATGAAATAGTGAGTTTTTTAATTTCAGTAATTCCCCAATAAAGTATTTTACTGCATATTTTGCAGTAAAATGCTGCAAAATATGCAGTTAATGCAGAAAGGGTGTAAAGTATGAAAATTATTGCATTTCTGAATATAGAAAATTATTACTTTTACATGTATAATTTAAATTAGTTAATTTATGGCACTATTTAGTAGCTTTTTATTTTTAATCGGTTTAACATTCTGTTCTCAATCTATTTTGATTTTGTTGAAAACTGCTTATTGGTCAAAACTTCAAAGCAATAGATAAAGGTCTTTATTTTAGTCTTATAAAGATTATAAGCAATTAAATGCGATTTAATTATGTCTGTAATTAGCTAAAGAGAACTGTAAAATTCGAAACTTTTTGACATAGATTCAAATTTTTAAGAAAATTATCTTTTTAAGGATCCTAGATAGGGTAGCTAAAAATACAATATTATAAAAATGCCCGGGAATCTCTTTTCCTGTCTTTTAGGTAGACAACCATCAAAGCATCCTTATTAGTTAGAAAATACAAAATAGATGATAATCATTGTCATTTTCAACCAGCAGCAAATAAATCTGCATGGTTACGTTATTTTCACAGCTTTTGTTACAAAGCAGGGTGGGCAAGGTTAGGACAGAATGGATTACTCCATGGTTTAAACCGTCCTGTCCAAAACCCTTATACTCAAATTATGTCACAATTTTTTCTGAACAATATTCAAAAGGTAAAATAAACATAGAACTAATAACATATTGATAATTGAATCTACTAGAGAGTATTTGTTTTTAAAAGTATAATGTTTTATTAATGTTGTTAGACTCTTCAATTTAAACATTAAACAAAGGAAGGTTCATCAATAATCCAGTTCAATTGGTCCTCTCATTCATTAGTACAGTAATACATAACTGAAGTTTAACCTTGCCATACTGGTTAAGCTATTAGGGACTAAATACTTGATTAGTTATAAACAGGTTAATTTATCTATAGTACTATTCAAGAATACTTTTATTTCATTCATGTTCAATTCTTTCAGCATAGTGGTGATACATCACCAGTGTCAGTAACTGAAACTCCCCGTGGCAGAAACACAGCGACATTGTCGCAGAAAGCGACTGAGTTCTTGCAGAAAGATTATTTTTATTTGGGAAATAAAAATTTTTGGTTTGCCACAAACAAAAGTTCTCAAAAAAGATTCTGCAGAAACAGAAGCTGTTTTACCAAAAAATAAAAAAAACATTTTCTTCAGAAACAAAAAATTTCTGCAGAAGTAATAATGGTTCTGCAAAAAAATTTTCTTACAGAATTGTTTTAAATATTTTTTTTTCTAGCGTACCGCGGAAGGAGAAAGCGCTCGTAATTCTCCGTTTATCTCCAACACAAACTGTTACTGGATAAAAAGGGGAGAATTTTTTTCCCCTTTATTGAGCTATTTTTGGAAATTTGCCAACTTCGGTCTCTATCGCTGACGCAGTAATTTGCTTTGTGTTTTCTTATAAGAACAGATACTTTATATTTTTTGCACTTATGTGGAAAATTTCATGCGTAAAAAGATTCTTTTTTTTAAAAAAAATCATGTCTAGCGAAAAAGGTTATCTAATGCAATTGTGAAGCTACAATAATTAAAACAAATTTGAAAACTGATTTTTCAAGGCGGCATTCCGAAGAAGAAATAAGATGTAAGTTGACAACATCTAGCGATGTCAGAGATTTTTTCTAGAAAGCGACAGGAAAAGAAGCTTCCCACGCTACTAATATTGAAAAAAAAAAACGTTCTAGATTCGAATCAAATATTCTTACTAGTAGCGATATCGATAGTAAGGATTAGCATTAGTAGTATCGATACGATTAGTATCGATAGTAAGGAGACAGCATTTCCAACAAATCAAGAAATTTTAGAAGCAGTAAAAAATAACTATATATATTTTTAAAGATAAAATGCCTATATCCTTTGAATTAAGTCGTCGGTAAAAAAGAAAAGAAAAAAATCGCAATCTAACGATAAATGAAATAAAGCCTGAAAGATATCTCACTATCTACGATTTTTTGGCATTCGAATGAAAAGCAGATTGGTGGAAAATATTTACTGGTGAAACACTTTCAAACAGGTTTCCATACGCATGCGAAAAAAATCGCATCCAATGAGTATGGCTCTAATACCGATGTTTCAGTACTGATAAAGACTATTTCGTTTAGAGATGTTGAATAGACTTGAGCAAATTGAGTCGGAAACCGCTTCTGCATACTTCATGTGGAATCAATGCTGTATATTTACACAATACAGTGCGAAATCACAAGCGCTGTGTATTTTTTTCGTTCTGAACTTAATCTGATCACGAAAAAAAGTTTTATTTACCTCCTTTTTAAAAAAAAAATCTTTCAGTAAGTCAATACAATATTAATCGAATCTAATTAATCTATAATTACTTAGAAAAGATTAATTAGATGTAGAAAAAATTGAAACAAATATCGCTTTAATTTTTTTGCTTTTAGAATTCGGTTATAGTCAATTCTATTTTATTATTTTGATTACTCAACTTCAATATTAGTTTTTTCACCTGATTTGTTTCTGTACCTGATATAACTACTATAATGAAACATTAAACCATACTGTTATAAACTGCTTTAATAACTTAATTTTGATACTGTTTTAAACTGATACTTCAAATCCAGTTGTCTTGTTTTATAAATTTAATCTTTTTGTCCATTCTTAGCTATTTCTATAAATTCTGTCTTATTACCGGTTCTGGCTAATCTTTATTTATGCTCTAGTAAGCATTTTTGTCTGCAGATCTATACATTTATAACTTTTTGTTATTATCGAAGATTATGCAAATTTATACTTAAACATTTAAAACTTATTAAGAAATGTAAACTTATATTATGAAATTAAGAAAAAAAAATCTACGCAGTTTTATTCTATGCCTGTAGACTTATTTTATAAACACGAATTTCATCTATTGTTATAAATTCATTACACATACATTTATAACGATAAAAATATCTTGCAGAAAGATATTGGTTCTAGTTAGGTTTGTCGCAGAAAGTCAGAAAAAATTCTGCCACAGGGCTGAAACTGAAGTTATGCCCTTCGAAACTGTTAATATGTTTTTCAGTTATTTTGTATTTCCAATTTAAACTAATATATTTATATTTAAAAAAAAAATTTTTTTTTAATAGATGTCTTTTATATCATCTTGTGATGCAGAAATCGTAACTTTTTTTAAAACAAATATTGTGAAAAATGAATGGTTAATTTTTANCATTCATGTTCAATTCTTTCAGCATAGTGGTGATACATCACCAGTGTCAGTAACTGAAACTGAAGTTATGCCCTTCGAAACTGTTAATATGTTTTTCAGTTATTTTGTATTTCCAATTTAAACTAATATATTTATATTTAAAAAAAATAATTTTTTTTAATAAATGTCTTTTTTATCATCTTGTGATGCAGAAATCGTAACTTTTTTAAAACAAATATTGTGAAAAATGAAAGGTTAATTTTTAAACAAATTTAGTATTATTTTTTTTAATTATTTTTATTTTTTAATATTGTATTATTTATTCTTATGCTAAAACATTATTTATCAGTATTAAAAGCATATTTGTATTTAAAGGACTAGGTATTCAATTTTGTTGTTCAATGAATTGTGGAGCTTCAAAAACTAAAAACCTATTCCTATTATATTATTTTCCTTTAATAAGTTAAAGTAAATTGTGTAAAATATATCAAATATTTATTGATGTATGTAATTATTATGTGTACAATGGTTACACCTATAGAATTTTTACCTTTTTTCAAAGTTCAAGGTTTTGGACACTTTAAGACAGTATTAGCCAGTTTAAGACAGTGAAACTCACGTGTCCTGTCCAAAACCAGTTTTGGACGTCCAAAACCAGTTTAGGACTTCCAAAACTCCAACCCTGTTACAGATTACCAAATGTTTTTACAATTTCGATGTTTTAATATCTCATTATAACATATAACTCAAATTCTGAGTCACTCTTTTAAGCTAGTAGTCATTTCTCAATTAGTGTTGATATCACAATGCATTCGCATAGTTTTCACAACAATTTTTGGGGTAGTTATTAAAATGGATTTTTACTTGTTTTTTTTTATCTCAATGTTTAAATACGATATTATTACACATTTCTCACTCAATTTTTGACAATTCACCTACAATAACACATGGATTTATAATTTTTATCTGTTATTCCAGCAGAGTTTCATAGTTTTTTAATGCTACCTTATCATGCACAGGAAATTTTGAATGGCACATTTGTAAAATTACTTTTTTATGCACTCAATTTGTAAGAATTAACAGGGCTTTGTCGATCAAATTTTAGGTGTTTGGGGTTTCCATATAGCTTTCAGAATTTAAAATTTATTTTTAATGTGTATTACGATACGCTAAATTCCAAATCTCGCTTTTGAATAATCACGTAATGATCCGCTTTAGTCGTGACAATTTCATCTCAATTCCGCAATTTCTCCGAAATTTTGCGCACTTTGAAATTGAGTGTGTGATTCTTAGCTGTAGTTATCTTTTTATGCAAGACGTGAGAAAAAAATATGGGATTTTTTTCGTGCTGGTTATGAAATGTCAGATTTAATTTCTGGTGTAGACAATTTTTTTTAGATTATAGTGGAAATCTGATTAAAACCGAACAAAAAAAAATTCTGGTAAAAATTATTAAAAAGCAAAAAAGTGGAGGATTCTCATCTACCCCTGTATTCATTTCTTAACAACTCGCAAATGTAGAGGGGGGAAAAAATTTTTTGAAAAGTAAAGAGTTTGATTGTTAAAAAGTGTCCTGAAAAGAGGCCCATCCGGTGAAAGGACGTCTGTATATAGGACTTTGTACTGTAGTTGCTTACCTTATGAGTTATTTGCGGAATTTTTTTTTACAGCTTATGGAAAATATAGCCAATTGTACGATAAAGCAGATGACAGTTAGTTCATTCTGTTGGAATGGTATAAAAATCAGGGTGTAATGGTGCATGTGATTTTTCCGCTAATTAGTAGAATTTCACAAATCTAGAGAAAATAAACTTAATCAAATTTTCTTAGAATGCACTAATCTAAAATATAACTTTCGTTAAATAAAATATTACTTTTTTTCTTATTTACCAACAACTAAATAAAATAATTATTTTTAAATAATATTACAACATAGAAATTTCAAAACCTGCCTCTTAGGATCACTTTTCGGTAAGCTGAAATATATTGTACATCCGTATGAGGTAGATCAGTTAATGCTGCCTTCTTTTTTAGGGTTTTTATTTATGCTGATGTTCATAACATGTGAAATTTGTATGGCACATTTATGGAAATTCTGATATGTTCCACTTCTATACGATGTTAATATAATTCAGAGATTTTTAATCACACATTTGAGTGTGCTATTATAAGTGATTATTCAATAAATTTTTCGTCTGATGCTAATGATTTTAGGTTACCAATATTATTTATTATAATATGTGAATATCAATTCGTTGTAAATATACTTAGTTTTATCGGTGATTTTTTTTCGTGGTAGTCATTACTGCAAGTTTCAGAATTTCTGAAAAATGGTAAAAGCAAAAAGTGTAGAACTGTGTATTTTTTTTATTTTTTATAAATGCCTAGATATTGCCCACAATACTAGAATATATGTTATTATGGATGTTTGATAGCAAAAAAATATTCATTCTAATATTTAATTTTAGAATTGTTACTTTTTGTGTATAAAAATGATAGTCTCTTATTTATCTTCTGCGTACAGAAAAAGTATTTAAAAAAATTACTTATTGAGAAAAGATTTTTTTTTTTTTTTTAATGTAAAAACAGATGAACTATGAAGTTTCTACAAAATTTTATAAAATTTTTTCTTCCAGAAATCACATATGTTTTATTTTGTAGGACACTTTAGCTGACCATAAGATGTGGCTTCAATCATTCACCAGCCACAAAACCTGAGAAACTTTTATCAAGAATTACAGCACTCATGAGCAGAACAACTGTATCTGTTTCTCGACATAATCCGAAGTCCTACGATTATTTGTTGAAGTTTTTACTAGTAGGAGACAGTGATGTTGGTAAACAAGAGATTCTTAGTGGCCTTGAAGATGGCTCCCAGGAATCACCATTTTGTGGCTCCTCAGGTTAGATAACAAATTGTTAATATTTTTTTCCCTTCATATTAAATTTTAAATTAATTGTTAATAAATAAACTTAAATCAAAAAATATTCAAAATATGTATACATATTCTTAGGTTACAAGTCACTTTTAAACACATTTTTTAAATGAAAGTATTTTTTTCTCATTTTATTGATGGCAACCCTTTTGTAAGAAAAATATTTTTGAAGAGTGTAGGTAAAACAAATGCAGAGCCATTCGCCACCTCGCCAAATGCTATAAAATAAAGAAAATTTTAATTTTTCCGCTGGAAAGAAATATATACATTTAACTTGATCCTCAAAATTCCGTCAAAATGAAGTTTTCTAAACAAATCAGTATTTTATATTGGATTACAGTAATTTTTGGTAGATGCGACCCATAACTAATTAGAATTGGGTACAAATAATATAAGCCTGAAGTAAACTTAATTGTATAAAATTTTTAAGATTTGCATTTGACTTAGACTTCTGAAAATCAACCAATACTTTTGATATTGGGCTAATTTATTAGCAAATAACTTGAAATCCTTAGTGTGGACCCTGCAAATGGCGGATATGTATTACATACATATAGTTTTTTTTTAGAGAGTAGCTGATATTGTTTTTGTGAGCATACTTTATAATATATTCACTTATGAGGGAATATTTGTTCAAAGTCTATGTATTAGAATTTAAATTTTCTTTTGAAATTGTTAATTTAATTTTCAGGTGTTGCATATAAAACAACCACAATATTATTAGATGGAAAACGAATTAAACTCCAGCTGTGGTAAGTTATTTTTTCTTTGAGATTTAACAATTTTTATTATTAAAAGAAAGTATGTTTAAATTTGAAAGTATGAATTAAACTCCAGCTGTGGTAAGTTATTTTTTCTTTGAGATTTAACAATTTTTATTATTAAAAGAAAGTATGTTCAAATTTTTCCCTATGAAAGTTGAACTACTGTGTATCTGCATTTTACTATACTTAAGTATTTTCTTAGTCTTTTAAAATGTGTATTTCTGTAGTTTATTTTATACAATGTGATTATAAGAAAAAATTCTCACTATCTTAGTAATTGTCCCAAATTTTTCATAACTGCATATACTTTTTCTCATCTAAAAATTAAATATGATATTCCACATCTAACTGCCCTCTGTGCTATCCTCTTACCTTTATAAAACAGAACTTTTGATTTAGAGAGAAAATCAGTAAAGACTGATTGACCCTAGTTCTTGTATTCATATTTCTTGGTGTTTTTTGTAGTTATGTGATTTGTGTTTGTTGTATGTAAGTATTTAATTAATGTACATCTGTGATATTTAATGTTTGATCTGTTCTATGCTCCTCACCATCTGCAGCTTGCAAAAAGTCATTGTTTGTTAGCGTAGTTATATTGAAAGTTTGTGAAACATAGAAATGTTTTCTTTACTATTTTTGAATTTTCTGTATACTACTCTTTTTCTATGCTAAAAATAGTATTTTGATTCTATTTTTAAGTTTTTTGCTGTAAAAATTATTATTTTACACGAAAAAGAAACTAAATAAATTAGTTATTAAAATAAATCTGAGCTGTTCTTGGTTACTTTAGTCTTGAAAAAACATTTAATATGAGAAGTAAGCATAATTTTAATTTAAAAAGTTTTTCCAAAACAAACCTTTATTCAAAGCAAGCCCTTTTTTTAAAAAAAAATTATTATTACTATTAATTCTGATATTGAAGTTGTGTGTGTTATTATTTATTTGTAAATTTCTTTTACAGGGAATCTTCAGGCCAGGGAAGGTTTTCTACTATTATCCGATCTTATTCTAGAGGAGCACAGGTAATTTTCTCCACATTATGTTTATTTTTAAAGGTAAAATAAAATTTATTTATTGAAATAGAAATCTCTCCTTACCTCACATTTTTTAATGTATGACTATTTATAGCCTTTGTGTATCAAAATTTGTATTTATTAATGATTATTACATATTAATTAATGAATTTTGTCTAGCATTCATTTTGCACATTAAAATTTTGATCAAATCTGTAATCAATGTTGAAAATTTCTTAATAAATAAATTAAAAATAAAGAGTATGGATTAGGAGATGGTCTTATTTTCCTGGTTAAAGTAATGTTATGAGTAAATGTTTGCTTTGTTTTTAGGGGATTATACTTGTGTATGATATTACAAATAAGTGGTCATTCGATGGCATTGACAGGTGGCTGCAAGAAGTTGAAGAGGTATGTTAATGAATAATATTTTTAGTGCTATTATAATACAGTATATACAGTAAAACATTAATTTTTCTCTTCGAACCATGAATTATTTTACTGTTATGAATCTACAATTATGCATTCTTTACTAGATTTGGGACAAGCTCAGCTAATACCTGAAGTTATCTAACTTGTAGGAAAACATTTTTTTGAATAGGCTCCTGAACTATCTCTAATTCGGCCTTTAACTCATATCTGACAATGGGTCAGTTCCTTGGCACAGAGCTTTTAGATCCTGCTCCAAACTGTTTTGACAGTACTATTCAGAACCCAACAGGAANCAATTGCTGCTTCTAAATTAGAGATGCAACATACAAATATTTGGTATTTAGCCTTTACTGCTGAACGCAGCATATTCATTTCGGACGAATAATGGAAGAAGCGTCTGCTGAAGACAAAACTCAATTTGTTTTCATTCATCTTTCTTGTTTTCCCCCTGGGAAGGGTTTATTGGATTAACAAAATAACAATGGAGAAAAACAAATTTGTGAAGGGTTTGATTAAAGATAAATTATTTTGTAAAAGGTCCATTTTTAAGTTAAAATATTTTGTGAAGGGTCCGTTTTTATGAAAAGATATTTTGTGGAGGAGCTGTTAATGGACCCAAATTTCGTCTAAGCAGACCCCTGGTTTGTTAGTGTAGTTATATTGAAAGTTTGTGAAACATAGAAATGTTTTCTTTACTATTTTTGAATTTTCTGTATACTACTACTTTTCTATGCTAAAAATTGGCATTATTTTTAAGTTTTTTTCTGCAAAAATTATTATTTTAAATGAAAAAGAAACTAAATAAATTTGTTATCTTAGATTCTTTAGTCTTGAAAAAACGTATTTGATATGAGAAGTAAGCATTTTTAATATAAATAGTTTCTCCTAAACAAACCTTTTTTTTTTTTTTAATTATTATTACTATTAATCCTGATATTGAAGTTGTGTGTGCTATTATTTATTTGTGAATTTCTTTTTCAGGGAATCTTCAGGCCAGGGAAGGTTTTCTACTATTATCCGCTCTTATTCTAGAGGAGCACAGGTAATTTTATCCGCATTATGTTTATTTTTAAAAGTAAAATAAAATTTATTTATTCAAATAGAAATCTCTGCGTACCTCACATTTTTTAAAGTATGACTATTAATAACCTTTGTGTATCAAAATTTGTATTTATTGATGATATTACATATTAATTAATGAATTTTGTCTATCATTCATTTTGCACATTAAAATTTTGATCAAATCTGTAATCAATGTTGAAAATTTCTTTATAAATAAATTAAAAATAAAGAGTATGGATTAGGTGGTGGTCTTATTTTCCTGGTTAAAGTAATGTTATGAGTAAATGTTTGCTTTGTTTTTAGGGGATTATACTTGTGTATGATATTACAAATAAGTGGTCATTCGATGGCATTGACAGGTGGCTGCAAGAAGTTGAAGAGGTATGTTAATGAATAATATTTTTAGTGCTATTATAATACAGTATATACAGTAAAACATTAATTTTTCTCTTCGAACCATGAATTATTTTACTGTTATGAATCTACAATTATGCATTCTTTACTAGATTTGGGACAAGCTCAGCTAATACCTGAAGTTATCTAACTTGTAGGAAAACATTTTTTTGAATAGGCTCCTGAACTATCTCTAATTCGGCCTTTAACTCATATCTGACAATGGGTCAGTTCCTTGGCACAGAGCTTTTAGATCCTGCTCCAAACTGTTTTGACAGTACTATTCAGAACCCAACAGGAAAATTTAATTGGCTTTCATCTTAAGAGAAGAATGGAATTCTTCCTTTGTCTTTTTGTTATTTATAAACAAATTTTATGTAGAATTTAAATACTTTCAAAGCAAACTTTTCATTTTAATACAAGATAATTCCCAACACTACAATTTCAGTCACTTTTTCATCAAATTAGGATGATCAATCCACTTTGGTAGGAATGTTCCTTAAGTTTATAAAAATTATAAATTTTATTTTATTATTCTCTAAGGTTTTAACTTTTTATTGTAGTATAATTTTCTGAAAGAATTATTGTTAAATGTCGAATGATGATGTCACAAGAAAATTATAAATTGAAATGATCAGAAATTCAACTGTTAAACGATTAACAACTGTTACCATAAACATTAAACTGTTCAGAAGTTGAAGAAATTTGAAGCGGCTCCAAAAGCTTCGGGCCATCTTTAGTAATAATTGGCAGGCTGTTATGTAATTTGCAAAAATTTGCGGTGAAATTTTAAATGTATAAAAATGAATTCGTTTTTAGTATGAAATGGATGAATTGGGAGAAAAAAACAAGTTGACAAAACTTAGTTTTATGACTTGTAGGGAAGAAAAAAATAAATTCTTCTATTCTACTGCCATCTACCATACTTAAATATTCTAATGTCAATGACAGCAAATTAGTAGTTTGCAAGAAAAAATATCACAATTGTTGGAGACAGAAATTAGAATTTCGATGTAAATAATAGAAAATGTAAAAATTATATTAATTATAAATGTATGTTTTTATAATTTATGTGTTTATATTGTGAGAAGATTCTTAAATTCCTCTCTTTTTTGATGTGTGTTTTTATTTAATATATCTAAATTTTTTATGTTGCAGTTATGCAATGCCTTTCGATTAGCTTTTTGATAAACTTCTTTGTAATTCCCTTTGACATATAATTTGAAACTGGATAACATTGAATCAAGAAAAAAGAATGTTAGACAAGTAGGGTAAAATTCTCAAATGGTAATGAAGAAATAGTTTCGAAAATAGTACAAGAATAATAGTTCTGGCATAAATATTTTCATTAAAATTGATTCAGACCAATTGTAGGATATGAAATAAATGGGGGTTATTGGTTCTCTTTGTGAGTGTTTTCATCAGTACAAATTTATCCTCCCTTTTTTGGCAACTAAAGAAATAGCTTATGTAAATTCTTTTACTGTAAAATAAGATATTTAGTGATTTTATTCATTGCAAGTTACGAATTTTTCCTATTTGCTTATCTAGAACAGCAGTTCAAATTTCTTTTGGGCTATGGAGTCCGACAATAAATAAAGTTCATTAGTAATTGTGGACATATTCTCCAAAAATAAAAATTTGTTTTGAAAATGCTTAATTTGAAGAGTCTAACTCGTTTCATTGTTTTAATATTAGTCAAATAATATCAATAATAATAATCAATATTCATATTGGGTCTTAAAGTTATGTTTAGTTAGACATTTTGATTTTGCAAGTGAAGAACAGCTTCTAGGCTAGTATAAATTTGGTCTTCTCTTAGCCTAAAAGCAGGCAAAATAAACTGAATTACGAATTTCATTAATGTGAATAAAAAAGAACATTGATATTTTTATATTATTGAATTATTTAAGTTGATATAACTTTTTTTTCTTGTTTTTTCTTATGTGTTTTTTTTTTTTTTTTTTTTTTTTTTTTTTTTTTTTTTTAGCGTTTCTTTAGTTATTCAAAAAGAACTTGTATTTAATTATGCAGAAATCTAATTGTTGATTGTTTATAAATGTAATTATATGCATTGAAAGTCATTAATGATTATAAAAAAAGTTAAATCTTGAAACCTATGTTACCCTTCCAAGAAACCCTAAAGGTCCACTGAACATATTTTGAAAACTGATTATCTCGAGTAATTATTGAAGAAGATTCAGGTGAATGTGAAGGACATTGTATTTTAAATTATTAATGTGTATTGTAAATATCTATGCCGGATTTTATTATCTTCCAAAGGACTACATTTTTACGAGCAAAGCTTTTTGAGTAAAAACAAGTTCTACTTGAATTGTGTACAGAAAACTAACTAAATTACCAACTTAAACAGCTTTTTTTGTTTATTACATTTGTAGTATGTAGTCATGAAAGTAGTGATTGCTAATCCTGCTTTATATCCAAATCATTTCATAATGAAAATGGATTTGTTTGATTATCATTACTTTTTTACTACCTTATCAGAAAAATGTGTGTTCTGTCTTTTCATTGAACGTAGTTAATTTTATGAAATCATTTGTTTTTAGCATGCACCTGGTATTCCAAAAATCCTTATTGGAAATCGACTACATTTAGCTTTTAAAAGGCAAGTTTGTGAAGGTACTGCTGAATCATATGCTAGGAAGCATAGTATGGTGTTTTTTGAAGTGAGTCCTTTGTGTAATTACAACATAACAGAATCATTTGTTGAGCTTTCACGCATGGCTCTTCTTAGAAATGGTATGGAAAGACTGTGGCGAAGCAATAGAGGTAATTATTCTTACTTTCCCTTTATTCAGTATTTTCTTTTACAAATAACTTTTATATTTCTGTAATTTTAAATATGCTGATTTAATAAATGCAGGGTTCTTAGTTGTCCNTGTAATTGTTTTGAAAATGCTTCATTTGAAGAGTCTTACTTGTTTCATTGTTTTAATATTAGTCAAATAATAATCAATATTCATATTGGGTCTTAAAGTTATGTTTAGTCAGACATTTTGATTTTGCAAGTCAAGAACAGCTTCTAGGCTAGTATAAATTTGGTCTTTCTCTTAGCCTAAAAGCTGGCAAAATAAACTGAATTAAGAATTTCGTTAATGTGAATAAAAAGGAACATTGATATTTTTATATTATTGAATTAATTAAGTTGATATAACTTTTTTTTCTTACTCGTTTTTCTTTAGCATTTCATATATATATTTATTCAAAAAGAACTTAACTGTTGTATTTAATTATGCAGAAATCTAATTGTTGATTATGTATAAATGTAATTATATGCTTTGAAAATCATTAATGGTTATAAAGAAAACTAAATCTTGAAACCTATGTTACCTTTCCACGAAACCCTAAAGGTCCACAGAACACATTTTGAAAACTGATTATCTAGAGTAAGTATCGAAACAGATTCAAGTGAATTTAAAGAAAGACATGTTGTATTTTAAATTATTAATATATTGTAAATATCTATGTGGGATTTTAAAATCCTCCAAAGGACTACATTTTTGCGAAAAGAAACTTTTTGTCTTTTTGAGTAATAAACAAGTTCTACTTGAACATAAGATAATCATCTTTTAATGATTTGTTTCTTATGAGCCATACTGCCCTCCATTTTTGATCCATTTTTGGGGACTTAAACAGCTTTTTTTGTTTATTACATTTGTAGTATGTAGTCGTGAAAGTAGTGATTGCTAATCCTGCTTTTTATCCAAATCATTTCATAATGAAAATGGATTTGTTTGATTATCATTACTTTTTTACTGCCTTATCAGAAAAATGTGTGTTCTGTCTTTTCATTGAATGTTGTTAATTTTATGAAATCATTTGTTTTTAGCATGCACCTGGTATTCCAAAAATCCTTATTGGAAATCGATTACATTTAGCTTTTAAAAGGCAAGTTTGTGAAGGTACTGCTGAATCATATGCTAGGAAGCATAGTATGGTGTTTTTTGAAGTGAGTCCTTTGTGTAATTACAACATAACAGAATCATTTGTTGAGCTTTCACGCATGGCTCTTCTTAGAAATGGTATGGAGAGACTGTGGCGAAGCAATAGAGGTACTTATTTTTACTTACCCTTTTATTCAGTATTTTTTTTTCTGTAATTTTAAATATGCTGATTTAATAAATGCAGGTTTCTTAGTTGTCCTAATCTTTGCTGTTTTGTCTTGATATTTACTTATTTGTTTGCTTGTTTTGAACATACCGTTTTAACAAGCACGCAAATTTAAAATAATCATTTTGCTTTTTTAAAGATTCCTTTCAGTAGAAGAGAACACTAAGCAATGTCAAAACTAGTATGTTATACTAGTTGAAATCTGAAAAGCGTTTTAAGTGAAAGGAATTAGCATGAAAAACAACTCCTTTTCTTTATCATTCTTTTTTCTTCAGAAGAACAAATTATTGCTGAATCAGTATTGAAAAAAGAATTCATTAAGTAACCCCACCCTTTTAACATAACTGTTTCCTATTTTTGCCATTTTGCACATCTTTTCATCGTATGTCAGTAAATCTAACTATGCACTTATTGAAATCAAAGTATGCCTGATATAAAAGTTAAATAATGTTGTGAGTATCTTTTTGGCTGCTACTAATCTTAAAAATATTGTAAGTTTATTTATTGTATTGTAAATATTTTGTTGGTTATAAAATGACTATAATTTTGTATCTAAAATTATTTGTCAATATTGAAGTTATTTAAGGGGTTCAACTTAGTGTATTGTTTTGGTTTCATTTACAAAAGTTTTCTTACCTTATTGTTATAGATGATTTTATATTTTTTCTAAGAGAAGAGGCTGATACCACTCTTCTAAGATTCAATTCTTTTTTTTTCCCTCTTCGCCTTTATTTTTCATAATTTTTGTTTAAAAAAAATTCCTAGTTTTCACTTTATAAAAAAATATGAAGTACTAATTCTATTTTCAGATTTCAGTCAATCCTTTAAATTTGGAGTTTATTCAATACTTATATCACTTTTTTATTTTATTTAAAAAGTAATAAACCTTAATTCTTAAAATTTCAAACATTCAATGATTCAATTCTTGGGACCCTCCACTAATTACTCATTGTTTACACTTTAAATCTTGTTTCAGCCTTTTGGTTATCTTAGAAAGAAACTCAGCATTTTTGCTCTCAAAATTTTTTTCTTAATATGTTGGATAGCTAATTGAAAGGATGCCAAAATTAAACTTGTTAGCAAATTGAGGAGTAAATTTTTTCTCTTTTCTTCAAATTGCAGTGAAAGCTATATTTTTCATTTCTTATACATTTCATTTATTGCAGAGTCAAAAGTTCTTTTAAATGTCCATTTATTTTAAGTAATAAATTAAATTCTTTGATTTTTTTTTACTACTTTTTAATTTATTTTTTATTAGATATTTCCTGATAATGATGTATTTAAATTTTCTTATCATTTGTTAATTTTTGTATTCACTTACTCTTTAACATGTAGACTATGTATGATACAGTTTTGAAATAATTTATTGTTACATAGAAATAGCTATAATAACTAGTTTTCTTTTAATCTTATTTTGTTCTTTCTTTATATTAAAAAATCTGCTTCCGAAATCAAGAAAATTCAGGTCCCGAGACTACTCACTGTTTGTAATGTTTATTGTAACAATGTTTTATATGTAATATTAGAATATTTTAATGAAATGGCTTTAAAATGAAACTTCCTATACAATGCATCATGTTATATATATTATAAAAATTCAACAAGATTATTAATTCTGAAATATTCTTTAATATATACATATTATGATATGAAACTTAAAACTCATGTTGCATTTTAGGTTTTACGAACTTTCTATCTCCACATGCTTGGGTCATATTTTGGCAAAGTTATTTTAATATCACACTATAAATGAGCATTACCTATAAATTATGATTTTAATATAAACCCTGATAAATAAATGAATTGTGCCTAACTTACAAAAATATAAATATTTATTTCAATCAATCAAATCTAGCTGTTTAATTAATATTTAGTACAATTAAAATAAATTTCCTAATGCGTGTTAATTTTAGTTATAATAATATTAAGGTAGCCGTCTAGGTAAAAAAGGCCAATTTCGATGAAAATTCCGATTGTGAGATTATTTTATTTTAATTTAGAGTGAACTTTTCTGAATCCAGAACAGTTTCACTTTTGTTTCTACGTTGCTTAGATCCGGAGTTATTGTGATTTGAATAAAAGCGGTCGATCATAGTAACATACCGGAAGTGGGATTTAGAAACCGAAACTAACTATTTTTCACGTTCTACGTTGTTTCTTTTAGCTTTTTTTTATAGAAATATTGTCAATTTTCAACTTTTAAATTTGTGCTACTTACACAGCCCCATACATCAGTTTTTTTTATTATATTTCTGCAAAATACATATGGCAATACAGCCTTTAGTTTGTTGTTTGGATTCTTTAGTTTGATGTTGTTTGTTTACTGTCTTCTTTATTCTATTACGCTTTATAACTACTTTTCTTTAGTAAAAATACAATACTTTATTAGTACCTATATTATTTAATCTTTTTTATTTATTAAATATGGGAAAAGCTAGGAATTATTCGGAAAAAAAAACGAAAGTTTCATGGAAATCGTTTCTGTAAAGACGAAGTAAAAACAAACGCGTCAGTTGAAAATTCGGATTTGCTCAATATTTCTACTGCAAGTTCTTCCAAATTGGAAGAAAACATGAAATATTTTGAAGAAAAAAAGTCGAAAAATACATCGCAGTTGACAGGTAATAGAATTTTGGACATCGAGATTTTGATAAATGTGATAACAATGCTTTGTTGCCCTCAGTGTTTCGCTCCNCTTTTTTTTTAATATATTTTTATGTGCCCGTAATTTCTTTTATTGTTGTATAATTTTGGTATGACGTAACTAAAGAGAAATGATTATTTTTAAATAACCTGTCGAACTAAAATGTAAGTTATGTAGCAGTGAAGCAACTCATTTTTAAATTGTAAACTTATTTGAATTATGATTAAGTTCTTTGAATAAAAATATTTAGTCTGGATTAATTATGCTGTTGGATGTGAATCCTTAAAATTTAATTTGCTTTTATCTTCCAGATCACCAAGATTATTATTGCTGTAAATTTAAATGTGCTAATAGTTTTAAATTAACTTAAATTACTTCTACTTGTTATATCTGATAAAATTTGTTAGTTAAAGTTAAATGTTCTCACAACGCAATTATTTTTTTGAAAAACCATTCTTGATTCCTTAAATCTACTTTTTTTTCTCTATTCAAAAATAAGATATAACATAACTGTGTGCGGTTTCTGTGACTTCCATCTGCATGCAATGTAGATGAAGGTTATTTCCATCAAAAAGTCCTCCACAAAGGCAAATTTCTCCCAATACTCCAGGAATTCCCCTGTATTCTGGATTCAAAATTACGAAGAATACGAAGTTGAACATTGGTAGCTATAAACTCAAAATTGCATAAGTTGTTCAAGGATAATTATTAAGTGGAATAGAAAAAATTATAGCATTTTAGGTTTTTGAACTTTCTATCTCCAATACACAGTGCTCATCTCATATTTTGGCAGTTATTAATAAAAGAATTATGGCTATTTTTTTAATTTATGCCCTGATAAATAAAAGAATTATGCCTATTTTACAAAAATATAAATGTTTGTTTCAATCAATTGTTAATTTTTTCAATCAATGAAATCTAACTGTTTAATTGAAATTAATATTTAGTACAATTAAAATAAATTTCCGAATTCATGTCAATTTTAGTTATAATAATCTTAGTTTAATTATGCATGGCAATTAACATTTATAATAGATTATGATTTTCTCCACCAAAATTTTAGATTTTTGATATTAGTTGTCCAAACTTAAAAGTTTTGTTCATAATTACTTCATATTTATTGTAGCTAATAATTATTTTCTAGACCAAAATTTTGGGTTTTTAAGAAAAGTATAATCAATGTCAAATGCATCAGTGAGTTCAGGATATTTATTTTAAAATAAAAAAAATTTAAAGAAACTCTTTTTGAAATTTTTTTTAAATCAACAGCACTGCATAACATAGTATTCCATGCACATATTAGCATAGTTCCTTAGCTTATTGTCCATACTATCCCACTTTAATTATATGTAATGATGGGTATAGTTTAGAATCTATATTAAATTTACTAAATATAGTTTAAAGGGATTTTGTGTAATAAATATGCTGTATGAAAGAATGTTTTAAAATTTGTTGGAATCTAATAAAATAATTTATATCTTTTTTTTTAAATAACTAGGTACAAAGTTAAAAAAAAATAAAAAAATTAATAATTGATTTGCTTCTTTTTTTTTAAAAAAAAATGTATAAATACTTTTTTTCTGTTTAATCATCTTTTTGTTACTGAAGTATATTTCATGGTTTTTAATTCAACTACTGAATTCATCTTTGGTGTAGCCAGTAGTTGAGAACATACTTGACTGTTAGAGTAGACCTATCCTCGTATTTGCAGATTTGGATTATCAAATTATTGAAACCATAATTAAATTCTAATTTTAGTGATACAATTTAAATTGTTAATCCCTTGATTAAAAGTCAGTTTAGTTAACACAAGCTAAGGTAAACCCACATTACCTCTGTCAAGCTAAGGTACTTCTGACCACATTACCTCTGTCATCACAAAACTTTATTGTCCCAACGTCCATAACCCCCTGCTAACACAGCCGACAGTCTTAAAGATATTTTTTTTTAGGGATTAATTGCAAAATGTGCTAATGAATTTTTTTTTGCATTACAAACAGTGTACTCTTCAAGTATACTGGTTGTGCTAACAGCTTGTGGTGGCTTCAGCTTGTGCTAAACATTCCCCACCTTGCCAAATGCTATAAAATCGTAAGTTCGCCGAAACGAATTGTGATTTGTCAAAAAAATTACCAAACAATTTTTCCTACAGGAAAGGAAAATATATTTTTTTATTTTATCTAATCAGAGTAGTTTCCATTAGACATTTTGTTTAACCTATTAGAATTGAGGCTAGATAATGTAAGCAACAAGAGAGATTGTGTCAGCTTGAAAAACATGGCAAAATTCTTTCCTACAATTTGTGTTAATGAAATAGATTAAGCATTTGCAAGATACATATTATCATCCAACTATTTTTGCAAAAAATATGACAAAAACATATTCTTTATTAAAACAGACTTATTGTAAAATTTAAAAACTAATGTGATCTCTAAAATAAGAAATTTTAACTTTGATTTTATCTTTATTGATTAGCACTCTTCAATTATAGATATATTTTAGCCACCTTTACTTGGTTGGCTATGAAAGTGTAAAACCCCGCACTAATTTCTGTAAAAATTAAAAATAAAAAAAACTCTGTGCATAATATAAAGACTAATAAAACAGAATGAAATAATTTAAATAACTTCTATGTAATCCTTTATTTCTAAATTATTTCAATCACGTTAGGACAGGGGAAAAAATTCATAAAGAAATAAGGCTTACAGAATGAAGGGTTTATTTTAAAATGGAATGTATTCATATAAGAGATAGTTGGATAAGACCGCAATCTATTCTTATTTGTTTTCCTGAGAGACAATAAGACAACTATGTTTTTCATCCTCTCTCCCTTTCATTGCTCATAACATATATTCCTCCCCAACTGTAAAATGTCTCTTGATTTGAATTGGCATTTTATAAAATAGTTCAATTAATAGTAAAATTATATTTGGGTTTCTGTAAAAAATGATTGTAAAAATTTTTTAAGATTTGACTTTTAAATTTGGCTAATAATTTGATGTCTTTACCACGGGCCCTGAATACTACCCTACATTTCAAATTTGCAATTCCTGTTTTATTACTTACTGATTACGTATCAAATCTCTATAGCCACTTTACCTAACTTGACACTGTTAGAGTGTCGCTCTCAATTTTGGGACTTATATTACAAATTTCATATAAGTTATCAACTTTATTTTTGCACAATAATATAGTTTTTAATTGTCATTTGATTATATATATATATATATATTTTTTCAGTATTGTCACTTCAAGAACTCTGTTGCCGTGCGATTGTTGCCCGAACAACAGTGTACAGTATTGAGCAGCTTCCTCTTCCGGTCTCCTTGAAGTCCTGTCTCAAATCATATTCAATGACAACTTATAAATCACGTCCTCATCTTCCAAACTCAAGAGACAAGTCTTTGAAGAAAACCAAGCAGTTGCATCACCCTTGTGATTCACTCACGTCCCAGTGTCGAAAGAGCTGCTCTATATCCTAGCCAAGTGTACATTTTCATGTATATAGCCATCTTCTCAACTGCTCATCTTAAAAAAGAAAGAAAATTATCATGTTGCCAATGTTTTTTAATGAGGAAAAAAAACTGTAACAAAGCATATCTCCTTTTTTTTAGAAAAAAAAGAAAAGGAAATTGGATAAAATTGTGATTTGTAATTTAGTGTGTAGGCTCTGCAGGGTTTTTCCCACTTTCCTTCCCCCTGCAGTAGATATTACTTGTTTTGTAAATTAGAGACTAAAATTTCATGCTTCTTAAGTTGTATATTCCTAAATGTTGTGTAATTGTGATGTCGAATTGTATAGTCAGGATATTTTACAATTAAAGTCTAAGAACTTGTTCACTGTTGGTTTCTCATCTCTTCTTTCTAATATAAAGCTACCATATTTAAAGCGTTGTCTTCCATTTATTTTTCCTGGAGGAATTAATAAAAGGATGGTTCCTTTTATTAATGATCATTAAATATACTTATCATTTTTACCACCTACTAAATTCTCCATAATTTTGTATTGGTTCCGTTTTTGTTATTTAATGTATATGTTACCGTTGAAGTATGAAATCTGTTATTTTATAGAATACCTAGTTATTCCATGAAATAACTGATCGTGTCCGTTAAAGTGTAAAACTCTCTTGTATTTTATGGTTTAACTAGTTATTTCATAGAGTAACGATTTGCAGCCCGTTAAAGTGTAAAATAATCTATATGCTACAGCTCAAAATTTAGGTACTGGTCAGGGATTTAAAAAATGTTCGTGTAAAACCCAGTGTGTCAACAAAAAATGTTTTTGTTTTAGAAATAATGTTCTTCGTAATTCCAAGTGTCATTTTAGTAATCCTTGTAGTAACAAATAATTTTATGGTAACTTTCCATAAATACCATTTATGCGCTGCATAAATTAGATAAATTGCTTCTTTTCCATTTTAATTGTCTATCATTAGTTTATTTATAGAATACCTTGTTATTTTATTTTAGATAAATTGTTTATTTTACACTTTAACTGTCTCTCATTAGTTAATTTATAGAATACCTAGTTATTTCATAGAATAACTAGTTAAAGTGTCAAATTAATAACATATTACACACTTTAACGGACACNAGGTAAAATCGTCTACGTTATCACGATCTTGGAGAAAGATCATATCGCTTGATGAACAATCCTCTTCAGATGTTTAAGAAAAATATGATAACAGTATTCTCGAACTAGCAAAAGAAATCGAAGGTTTCGAAATTCTTGATGAAGAAAATTTAGAAGATTGGTTTCAAAGTGATGCATGTGAGCCAGGCTTCCAGTATTTGACTGATGAAGACATCATTATGTTGTTAAATCAAATAGTGATGATAGTAACTGATGCAGAAGATGTAGTAAATGAATGAAATACAATTTCCCATTCTGCTGCTCTGTGGAAACTTTATTAGATTATATGGGAGGATTTGATTACAGTGACATTACTGCGGATTTTTCTTTAATAAAAGGAGTTTTCGGATTATCCGTGTTTTTCGATTGTCCGTGCGACCTGTCCCGGTGATTAACCCGGATAATCGGGAGTGCACTGTACTTTGCATGGTGGAATACATTTCTGTACTGATTAGTACTTCAAAATCTGACTGATTACAAATATCAATTTCCTAAAGTAAGAACATATACAGACAGTCGTAAGCAGCTTATATCTATGTTGCAGAGAGCATTCTAATAATAGGAATAGCTTTGAATAGAAAGATATTTAGACTATACCTAACTTAAACTTAATAGGATTTTTTGTACCTAAGTTAGTTAAAAATAATAATATAATTAGTTTAATGCTTAAAATAGACATTCTTTTTTGTGATTTTAAAATGACTGCTTAATCAGCTCACAATTTTGGTATATTTTTAATTGTACAAACAAATTCTATCACAAAAACACTTTGAATAAACAAAGAGCCATCTTTATATGAATATGTACTATCTATAGCTGCCTAAAATCTTGCCATGAAAACTTGGAATATAAATTAATCAGTTTTTTTTTGTAACTTTATTGAAAAAATTTGTTAATTAAATGGAAAATTCTTCAAATTTTTCTTCTTCAGTAATTATTTTCAGAAAAATATTTATGAATTTAACCTTTATTTAAATCATAAAATAAAGACAAATTTGTAAATATTTTTTTTTTCTTTGAAAAACATTATGGATTGCATTTCATTTCCTTTATCCCATCTCAAAATCATCCATGAAAAACCGAATTCTTTACCCCTTCCTGTTAATAACAAACTACAATATCTACTATTATTATACCACACTCGATTATATTAGCAATAGTAATTATCCATTAGACAAAACTGATTGATTGCTATTTGAAATCTATCAAACTTTGTCTGGAATAACTTGCATCAGTTTCATATTTTGGATATTTTTCGAGATTAGTGTCTAGCACATTTGAATATGGAGAAAAGTTACAAAAATTTATGTTTGGAGAGAGAGGGAATTTATTTGAAAAAAAATCTAATAAATGTTTTTAAATCTTTGAGAAATTTCATCTTGTGTTACATAAATTTGATATCCGCTTAAAAACTATTTGCTGAGAGTTGAAAGTGTTCTTTTAACCTTAATTTTTTTTTATTAAAATCCTTGTTACAAAATCTACTGTTAAAGGCAGGAATTTAGAAAAAAACATGAACATAAATTAGAGCATGAACCATAACTTTTAAAAAAAAAACTTTCAAAAACAAACGTTTTAATAAACAGTGTAAAAAAAAGCTTTCAAGAACAAACCTTTTTTAAAACTGATCAAGATTTTGATTTAGTTTTCCCAATTCCATTTGTTTTTTTATTTAATTCTGCTAAGTTAATTTCTGTTTAATTTCTTTTCTCTTTTTTTTTTCTTTTTTTTTTAGCTTTTATTTAATACTTTTTAATATATTTTGAATTTTTCAAAGTGAACAATGCACTAATAAGTTAAAATCAGCATGAATTATAGATTTAGACAAAATTGTTTCATTAATTTGTAAATATTTAGTATTTTGGTCCTTTTATAGTAGCAAACAAAATAACATAGGTACATTAAACATTTGCAAAATAAATAGGTCAACTTCAATTTACTATCCATTATATAAACTTCCCAATTTATTTTATGCTTAACTTAATTATATTATTTTAATGTATCTTTAACTTATATTTTAGATTCTTTTTTTAAATAAAATTATGCAATAATTTTAAAGAATGTGGTATTTTAGATAAGTTTGAATTTATGTGGTTGATTTTATACCATTTAGTATTTTACTTACTAATAAATATAAAAAAATTACTGTTTACAAAAATGACTGGTAATTTAGGCTTAAAAGGAAATTCCATTTCAAGCTTTTTGAAATATTCTTGCCAGCACACTTTTTTTTTTCCCTTTAAAAAAATAATAGTCCTTTTGCAGTTATAATAGAAGATAAACACTTGACTGACAATAATAACAGTTCAAAGAATAAAAAATGTCTGAATAATGTTGAATGTTCAACAACAAGTAAACAGAACAAGTTTTACTCAGATGTTTCTGTGGAATTCTGCTTTTTTCTGTCTAATTTCCATCATAAATCTTAATGTAAATATGCATAATTCTTAATGAATAATTTTTAATTAACGTAATTATGTTAAAATTTGATATGCTGAGTTGCGGGGTGTTTTTGCACTAGGTAATAGAAATATTTATTATAACTGTTTTGTCATTTCTAAGATCTTACCTATTGATTCATTGTTGCAAAGTTTTTGGAAATGCAATCATCTTACGAAGAAAAAAAAATATCGATTCACAATTTTACATCGTCAAAAGTGAAATTTTTAAATCAAATTTCAAAATAAATTCATGATGATTAATTTTATGGTTAAAATATTATTTTCGGCAAATGAAGTAATAAATATTGCAGGGTTGAGTTTTGGACTCGGATACCTGCTGAAGTCAAATAAGAGTATTGAATAGCAAAATTTAAATGGTTACTTTAGTTAGATTCATTTTAGAAGATGAACCTTTGTCTAAAGATGGGTTCCACAACCTAAAATTCCTTAGTAAACATACCCTTTTTTTTCTCATTCTTTTACACTTCTCGACGCTGCTAAAATAAACAAACTTAGTAAATTAAAACTTATTACTGGGTTTGAGTATAGCACAAGATGACCAAATTTCTCAACCTTGACTTGACGACAAATCAAGGAAGCATCCTCAAAAAATTTTATGATTAGAGGACATCTATATATTTATGAAAAATATTTATTTATACAATAAAACTTGTGTAAGATGACCACTTATGGTGCATTAAATTTTAAATATGATAGAGTTGAAACATTAGTACTTTATGTACGTCACACTAGAGCTGCACAATGGGCTATTGGCGAAGGTCTGGAAAACAATCAGGAGGATCATTCGAAGATATGCCTTCACAACTTTGATCCTCTGCAAAGAAAGTTTCTTTGTTTTGGTAGCCTAATGCCCTATGTGCGAAGTCGATCACTTTCCGGTGGAGCAGTTTAATGGATACTAATACCCTCGATTCCTTCGCTGGCTGATCAAAGTAGTCGTTTACATGCTCAATGACCGCAGGCAGTGCTGCTTAAATTCGGTGATCTACTGGAAACAGTGTCTTACGATTATGGATCATTAACCATATTAGATTGTTTTTCAAAGATTTAATTGAATGGAAAAGATTCAATAGTGGAAAATTAAATCATTTACAAAAATAAGTGCTGAGAATTTTACTCTTTGATAAACTACACATTTTCCAAGTAAGCAAACCTTTATTGTTTTCATTTGCGCATACATCACCACTCCAGAAAAGACGTTCTGGTTGCTCTGTTATAGAGTTACATAATTTTTTAATGTAATAATTTCGTTCGCCACATGATCAGTCCATTGCTGGACTAAATAAATTATCGAAAGTAAAAAAAATTAATGTTTTTCGGATGAAATCAAAATTACCCAGATTCTTTAAGTTATAACTTAAAGAATCTGGGTAATTTTATTATGCATATATATATGCATAATAAGTATCTAATTATTTTAAGTAGTAGTAGTAGTTCATTTACGTCGCACTGACGTCGCCAATATATTGGCGACGGTCTGGGAAACATCCCTGAGGATGATCCGAAGACATGCCATCACAACTTTGATCCTCTGCAGAGGGGATGGCACCCCCGCTTCGGGGTAGCCCGACGACCTGCACGCGAAGTCGAGCACTTTACGGTAGAGCAGTCTAACGAGGACCAATACCGCACACCCTCGGTCCCTACGCAGACTGATCCAAGTGGCCGCACACCGACAGCAGTCAGTGATGCTTGACTTCGGTGATCTGCTGGGAATCTTAACGATCAGTCCACTGCGGGACCTAATTATCTTAAAGATAATCACTTTATATATGCAGGCAGATTGTTTTTAATCTCCTTCAAAATAAAACCATAGCAACTTGCCTATCACGTCAACCATGGATTTATAATGTTTTCTTCGTAGCCTGGCTGGTAGGGCGCTTTGCCCATGTCCAAGAGTTCGTGGGTTCGATCTCAGCAGGCCGAAGTCTCCCCGTGTAGTAAATGGTGACTTCTGCTCGTTGAATCTCTCAAGTCGCAAGGTCCTCCATGTTCCCATAGCAAATCAATACCTCTGGGGGTACTGATCCAGGAATTTCCTTGTCTTCTGGATTGGTTCAAAATTACAAGGCTACGGAGTTGAACATTAGCATAGTAGTCGTAACATATATCATAGTAGTCGTGACATATATATAGTAGTCGTAACCCAAAATTGGATCGACTTTTTAATGACGGATATAAAAAAAAATAATAAAATTTTAAAAAATCCCGTGGGCAGTGGTCGGAAAAACTACAATATTTTCGTAGTTTACTGCTACTACTTTGTCATAAATGTAGCTAATTAAAACTACATTTTTTTAAATATGGTGACTACAAATTACTCTTGAGTTGTAGTACCCAAGTAGCACAGAAACATCGATCTATACCGTGGCCGTTCCTATCAATATTTTGAAAGCGGAGGAATATAGATACTGTGAGCAAGTTATTGAATGAATTCCGTCAATGAAACTTTAAAAGTATNCAAAATGGTTTTGAATCAGAAATTAACTGACATTAAATATAAGTGAATAGTTATTTATTCATGTTTACACGAGATAGTTATTCCAAAACATTTTTTTTCGAGTTTGTTCATTTAATCTTGAACTTTTTATGCCTTTCTCGTCAGCGAACATTTAATTTCAGAAATGTGAAATTATCAAATACTTGCAATTCTTTAAATGTTTAATGCGTTTTTATTTCCTCTAAAAAAATTCAGTGCATCCAAATTACATTCCCTTCCATTAAAATAACATCGTTTCACGAGTGTGCATTCGCATGTGAAAGTGTGACCAAAGTAATTAATTATCTATTTTTCGTAATGGCTTGTTTAAATATTAGTTATGGATGGTTAACTGAAAGTAAACAATAACAAATTTCCAAAAATGAATAAATTTAGAAAACTGGTGAATCTCCCCGTTTATGGTATGCTTACGAAGTGATGTGTTTTAATTTATGCGTAATTTTACCATTCTTAAGAGTTCCCTGTAATTTATAAATTTTAACTGGTTGTGAGACTAAAACAAATTTAATAAAATTGATATCAAAACATAAATGAAGTGTAAGGTTTGCCATGTTTTGAGTGTTATCCCTTATTTGGCTGTAGTTGTGTAAAATATTAACGTTTGTAATTTTTTGGGTTGCAACATAGCATGTTTGCGAATCCTTCCGAATTAATTTATTGTTTGCTTATTGTGATTTAAATTGGAAGAACGAAGAACTCGTTACATTGTAAACACTACAAGTTTAATAATATTAGATAGCTTGCTTTTGCAAGTTTAGGCGTAAAGATTAATCGGAAGGACAACGAATTTTAACCCCTAGTGCCTTATGTGCTCAACTTTACACGGTCAACCATGCATTTTAAATACGTAATTTCTGTTAACGCTCAAAGTCACAAGGTCATTTTCGTGGCATCTATTGACGGAATCAAATTCTAAAAATTAGCTGCGTTAGAACCGCGTTTCTTTTCTAAACTAACACTAAAAGTAATTGCTAGAAATCACTATAAACTACTGTTTTTTTTATCTTTGCATTGCACTATTCACTACGTTACAATTTTTAAAAAAGTAGTACACTGCACTACAAACTACAAAAAAAGTAGCGACTACAGTACAGTTTCACTACTTGTAGTGCGTGGTGCGCTACTTCCGACCTCTGCCCGTGGTGAGTTTACAAGTCCGCAAATTATTATCACGAAATCGGTGCACTATCACAGTTGAATAATGATTATGAAAATTTTTTTAAATCTCTAACGACAGCTTTAAATATTTGACTAACTTTTGCTCTTTTACAAAAACGTAAGGAAATAATAAACTTTTTTTGAAAGTCATAGAAAAACACCAGACCATTTTTAGTATGACGTCATTCCGTAAAGCATCTATTTTATTAAACACAACTAAATAGTTTTTTTCGAAATTTCGAAGATTTGAATCTGGAAATCATACTGCAAATACCGCTCGCAGCGACATCTACTGGTAAATTTTGTCAATTTTCAAGATATTGACGAGAGTAGTTAAGTTAAAAAATGAAAGATAAAATAAATATTATTAAAAATTGATGTTTATGTGTTTTATTTTTTTCACAAATCAGTTAACTAACAAGAAATATTATTTTATTTAAAATATTTTGATTCCTACGTCTGGTTTTATGGATAATTTAAAAGGTAAGTCTTGAATTCCTGAATTTTTTAACGTCTTATGAAGTATATAGACGTATCGATCGACTTTCTCGACTATGCCAACTCTGTGCTAATGGCGTCACTTACTTTTCTTATCTACTTAAATTTTATTATAGTAATATAAATTTGTGATAGATAGTTAATTTGCATTCTTCCGATTTCATATTTAGTTATAGTATTTCATGAGCTACTCTGATTTCTACTAAAGTGGGGTGGAATGCTCCACTTCACAAAGGTCAACATTTCAAACATTTTTGATTATAAATTGATTTAATTAGAAATTAACGAGTGAATAAAGCTCCCCATTTCTTCATTATCATTTATATTCATTTATAATGTGCTTTCTTGTATTCGTTTTTTAAAATATTGGGCAGAAATACGGTGCTGCAGTTACATTCGCCACATCTGTCAAAGTATTTTAATAAACACGAACAATAAAAATTTCAGTTATAGTTATGTAATGATCTTTTTATGGTTATGTAACACATTCCTATTGAACAATTAATTTTTCAATGTCTATTTGACAGTCATGTATGCGTTATATTTAGTTGGTAATTAGACTTGAATGATTTGATTTCTTTTTGCAGTGTTACCATTATGAAGACATAAATTATATTGCCTAGTCCTTGTGTTAATTGTGCCAGTGGTGAGGGATTCCTAAATACTCATTGGATTACATTTGATCTCTTGGAATCCCTAATCTGGATTGTGATAAACTATGAAAATGGTTTTATCTCAACGGCAAAGGGATGAGCTGTAAGTACTCCTAAAGTTTATCTTTACATTTAGTTTTATCACATGTTATAACTGTGAGTTAAAAGGACTTGTACCTTTTTAATTTTCAGTACATAAAGTATGAAGATTTTAGTTGTGCTAAGAGCAATGAATATTATTTGCAATTGTATTTCAGTTTACCAGTTTCATTGGGTCATAATTTCTATTCCTATCTATGTAAATAGCATGCATTGTTTATGTAAAATTGAAATGTAAGTCCTAATTTTTATCCAAAATGATTACAAGTGTTATAATGGTAATGGGGTACCATATGTGGTGATTGTTGCGTTACAGAAATATGCTTTTACCAGATCTCTTTAGTTACAATGCAAAAAGATGAAAATGTACATTATTCATCTTGCTTAAATATCAAAACAATGATAGTTTTTGAGTCTTTATTATTATCATTAACTGCAGGCGAAGAAAAATACATTTTTGATAATTTAAATGGAAGTTATGTTTTAAGTTCTGAATTAGATGAATTCAAAACAAATTTCTACATGAAGTAAAACAAGGAGAATAAAGGTACAAAAATGAACGCTATTATGTCTTTTTCTGTACCTTTATTTTTGTTCTATTCACATTGTTTTTCCATATCCATACAATACATAATGTAAATAAAGAATTAAAATATCTTCTTTTTTATATCTTGAGGTAAATTCCCAAAATTCAGAAATATCTGGTGTTATTTATGAATTAAATAAAATTTCCATGGTTATGTTTTTCTTTTGAGAATAATAGAAATAAAGGCATGACTAAGAATTTTCTAATATTGTCAATAGTTAATTTGTAAATTATGTAGAAAAAAAAAAACTTTATTAAGCATGTAAATGATTATTGAACTTGTTTTATTGAAATTATTTAGAAAAGAAACTTAATTAAGCATGTAAATTATTATTGAATTTGTTTTTTCTTTTCTTTCTTTCTTGTGTGAGTATGACCTTAACCACCATAAATAAGTATTTTATTAATTGCCAATCACCTTATGTGATTTTAAAACTAACCACTAGGTTAAGAATTATATTCAATTTAAACATTCTATTGACAACTTAACTCTGTAAATCCTTGAATTTTTTTTATAATTGTTCTTTATGAGATGTTTTTATATTAATCAATCATAAATCCCCAGGTAATTTAACTTAAATATCTATTTAATGAGAAGTTTTGTGCTGTAAATTTAATTGAAAATTTGGAATAATAAGTGTTATAAATGGATTAGAATAATCAATATTTTATTTAAAATAGAAAACAGAGCATTAATAAACTTAATTCAGTTATAAGTATAGATAATAATTTTAAACAATTCCTCATTATTCATGGCATTTTAAGAAGTTAAAATTTTAAACTTTTATTTTGAAGCTTTTAATGTCTTTTACTCATAGTTATAAAATAATTCATCGAAATAAAAATTTTGTACAAATATTGCTAGATTTTAAAAATGCATTTCTTTTTAAGAAAATAGGATAAATGCAGAGAAGACTAGGTAAACAAAAATCACCTGATGTAAATAAAAATTTTAAACTAATGTTTTTTTTTTTTTTTTTTTTTTTTTTTTTTTTTTTTTTTTTTTTTTTTTTTNGAGATGTTTTTATATTAATCAATCATAAATCCCCAGGTAATTTAACTTAAATATCTATTTAATGAGAAGTTTTGTGCTGTAAATTTAATTGAAAATTTGGAATAATAAGTGTTATAAATGGATTAGAATAATCAATATTTTATTTAAAATAGAAAACAGAGCATTAATAAACTTAATTCAGTTATAAGTATAGATAATAATTTTAAACAATTCCTCATTATTCATGGCATTTTAAGAAGTTAAAATTTTAAACTTTTATTTTGAAGCTTTTAATATCTTTTACTCATAGTTATTAAATAATTGATTGAAATAAAAATTTCTTAAAAATATTGCTAGATTTTAAAAATGCATTTATTTTTAAGAAAATAGGATAAATGCAGAGAAGACTAGGTAAACAAAAAATCACCTGCTGTAAATAAAAATTTTAAACTAATGTTTTTTTTTAAAAAAAACAACAACACATAAATAAATTAATTTTGAATACAAATAGTTATGTGTACCTATAGTAATTTTTTTTAAAATTGGATAAAAATTGTTTTTAAAGAAATTGTTTTTAAGATTAAAATTGTTGTTTAAAATTAAAAACTATATTTTAATACTTAAATTTAATTCATACAGTTAGTATGAATTAACATATTTATATTTTGTATTGTTAAAATTTAAATTAATTCTCTGTAGCCATTTTTGGTTTTCTTTGATTTCACCCAGTTTTTCACATTGTCTGGAGGAAGAAAAAAAATAGGCTTTTGCATTAAAAAACCAAAATCTGAGTTCAAATTACTACAATTTAATGACTACATAATATATAAATATGAAATTATATATCTAAATATGAAATACAATATATTTATGAAACTGTTAAACCTTTGTGTTTTTTTTATAATGTAATGTAGTATTTTAAGTTGTAGCAAGTTTATTTGTTTAACTTACAGGTATTTATAATAATCTCTGAACTAGTAGTAAAACAAATCACAGTTATATGATTTAAAAATTATTAGAAACTATAATTATCCTGATTTAGGGTATTTATCCAGGGTAAAGGTAAATATCCATTTATAAATCACCTGCTCACTAGGTATTTACTTGACCCACATCTATTATGCATAAAATATATCATGATTTTAAATTTCTAATTATTTAATTTAGCTAAGAAAAACAACAAAATAATCTTTTTGGTTCATCATTTATGTTTCATGAGAAATAATTATTCTATTTTTAAGATAACTTTATTGTTAATATACTAATTAAGGTGACAAAGCATATAGTTAAATTCCATCAATGACAAAATCAATTAAATGTATAAAAAGAAAGTATTTTCCTTTAAAATATTGTGCTAACAGGAAATGAATAAATACTGAAGTAAACTAATTGTGATTATTATTAGCGTCAAAATTTATTAGTGGAATACTATTTCATGTTAATATATAGATAATACGTATTATGTTTCACAAAATTTTAGGTTACTAAATTGATATTTTGCTAAAAACTATTTCGCTTAATATTTGATTAACATTAAAAGGCTTACAAAACTTAACTTTCTTTTCCATTTTAACTGTTGAGTGCAAACATTCTCATATAGATTATACTCTTATTGTTTGTTTGTTTTTTCTTTTCTTTTTTTGATCAACATTACATTACATAGTCGGGAAGATTTTGTATGAAATATTTCAGAAACTTGATAAGTTATTGAAAGTGAAGTTATCAAGAAGTTTCTTCAAATTAGATTATTCATTATTTGTCTTGTTAAAAGATCAACCAGTCTGATTAATTTTTTTTTAAACTTTGAAATAACTTACCAAAAAAAAATTAAAAATGTAATAGAAATTTTAAATAACCTTTTTTATCTATGTTTCTTTATACAGTTGAGGCAAATTGATACTAAAAAATGTATGCAAATTTGTAATTATAAATTTTATTTTCAAACTTGAAAACCAATTGAGAGAAATTTTTTTTTTTTAACAAGAATTGTGAGGTTCACAACCGTGAGTCTTAAAACTAAGTACAGATAACTAAATAATACTGAACTTTTAAGTTTATCGAATAAAATAATAATTTTAATTGTGCCATGCTGCTTTAAAGGACAGGAAGAAATGAACTTTTATAAAAAATGATTGATAAATTATAATTTTTTATTATTTTGACTTAATATTTGAGTCATCCTTATATTTTGTCATATATTTATCTTTTTATTAATATTTAATCTTAGTCTTTTTATTAATATATGTTATCTTCAAATATAAGTAAAAAAAAGTTCTGAATTTTTAACTCTGGTGTATTAAAATGTCCTCGTAATGAATCGCTGTAGAATGAAGTTTAAAACCAAAACCAGGGGTCTGTCTAGGTTTTTCTGAAAGGTACCTATTTTGTGAAAATTTAGACATAATTTGTGAAAAATTAAAAATTATATTACAAAATCAATACAAAAACATGGTAAAAATATAGATTTATCGTTTCTTAAGGGATACAAAAATAAAATTTTTTCCTAAAGTTGAATTTGTGAAACTACCGTTTCATCTAAAATTGAATTTGTGAAGGTACCGCTAAACGCTAGTAAATTCGGCCTGGACAGACCCTTGAAAACTATTGAGCCACTTTAGTTCAAAAACTTCAATGCTTATATCCAGCTATGCATAATTAGTACAAATGCCATTTGTGGAAAATGTGTTGCCTAATGTTACTCATTATTAAAATGCAAATAAATAACTAAAATAAAAGACTGGTCAAGAATTCCCCTGTTTTACCTTGACATCAATTTTAGGTAATTAGGATACTACTATAGAAAATTTGGTACATCAATAACTTGTTTTATATCTTCAAAAAACTTCTGAATTAAAAAAAAAGTATGCTAGTATACTATAATAATCAATTTAGAGTTTTATGTAAATTCAAGCACTTTGAAAAAAAAAACCCAGTTATTTTCGAACAAATGCCATCAAAATTAGTTGGCAGTGAGTAATATGAAATTATTTACCAGAGTAAATAAATTGCTTTGCAGAAAGTTTTTTAATTTAAATTTTTTGTTCAGAGAAAGTTTTTAATTTTTTCTGAGTCTGCTTTCATCCTATTATTCAGCACTCACTAATATGACCGAAAGGATTAAAATAAAATCGGAAAAGTATTGCAAAGTATTTTCAATTTTTGTGGTTATTAATCTTGTTTAAGGTTTGTATTTTTTAGCCGGAGGGCATATGGATTTTTAAGTGGTCAGATGTAGCATGCTATAAGTTGCGAAACTACTGTGGTCACTACTTTTTTTTCATAGTGTGTAGTGTAGTACGCTACTTTCTAATAAAAGTAGTGTAGTGAATAGTTCAATTAAAAAAAAAGTAGCTAGTAGTGATTCCTGACAGATACTTTTCATATTAGTTTAAAAAGGAAACAGGGTTGAAACACAATTTTTCTA